GGTGGGTGGGTGGGCAGGTGGGGGCACGCAGGGCTGGGATGGGCGCACCTGTCCTGGGCTCCGGGTCCCACTGTAGCTGCTGGAGGGCCCGCCTCACAGGGGCCAGCTCCCAGCCCAGAGAGTCCACCAGCTCAGCCATATCCAACTCCACTTCGCCTCTTCCCCGACCTATGTTCTCAGGCAGCTGCCGGGCCAAGCACACAGCCAGCGGGGGACACCTATGCCAGGGGAAGGGACTAGTGACTGGCAGCCTGGGGCCTCTGTCCCTGTCCCCAGCCTGGGGTAGGACGTGTGCTCACCTGCGGGCCAGGGCCTGAAGCTGGGTGGGGCCCCCAGGGCAGCGCAAGTGGCAGTGGGCGTAGGTGGATGGCAGCAGCTCCAGCCAGTGCTGTGGGTGCAGCTCCAGGTAGCACAGCAGGGTCTCAATGGCTAGGGGCACAGCAGGGCTCAGGGAAAGTGGGATGGGGGGTGCCCCCCCAACCCCCTCCCGAGTTCTCACCCTCCTCAGTCATGTCCAGCGCCTGCACTATCGGCTGCACTGGGAGCACCCGCTCGTGGCCTGGGCACCGGGCTGTGTGGTCTTGGCTGGGTTGCTGGGCCTCCCACGGGGACTTGGCTGAGACCCTCTCTGGAGTCCCGCCTCCCGCCTGCTCCAAGATCCGGGGGGAGCAGGCACAAGGTGGGAACACACGCTGCACCAGCTTCTTCACAGCCAGGAAGTCGGTGGCGTGGGCATGCACATGCCTGCGCAGCTCCTGCAGGTCTTCACCCTGTACAAGACAGCCGTGAGCGCATGGCCGCAGTGCTGGGGGACAGGGGATCTGGGCGGGGCAAACACACACCTGGGGCTGCAGGAACAGGTGGCAATGTGCAGGCTGCCCGTCACGTCCGGCACGACCCACGGCCTGCACGTAGCTCTCAAAGCTTGGGGGCAGCCCCAGGTGCAGCACAGCCCGCACATCTGGCCGATCGAGCCCCATCCCGAAGGCCACTGTGGCCACCACCACCCTCAGCTGGCCCTCCATGAATGCCCTCTGCACCCGCCGCCGCTCCTGGCTGCACATGCCCGCGTGGTAGGCTTCCACCGAAGCCTCCTGGGCTCTGCCTTCTGCGGGAAGAAAGCCGGTCAGGGCAGAGCCTCTGGAGAGGATCTGGGGCATAGCCACACCCCCACCTCACAGGCCCACCCAGTGCCCAGGTCTTACGCAGGCAGGTGCGGAGCAGAGCAGAGACACGCTCAGTGTCCTGTCGTCTGTTGCAATAGATGATAACAGAGTTCAGGATGCGAAAACGGTCACTCTGCAGCAGTGTCACCAAAGCCTGGAGGGAGATGTGGTCAGTGTGGGCAGTCAGGAGGCGGGGCCTCTGCCAGGCCCAGGTGTGCACACCTACCTGGTCTGGGTCCCTGTCCATGGACACAGAGAGGTGCAGGTTGGTGGGGATGGTGACTGGTCCCCTGAGGACAGCCTCTGTGGCTATGCCCAGGTGCTGGGCCACTTCCAGGGCAGTGCTATGAGTGGCCGTGGCCGTGAGACCCAGAAAGCAGCGCACGCCCAGCTGTTCCCGCAGCACCTGTGCAGGAGGGGCAGTGAGGATGCTGCTTACCTGCCTGGCCTGTGCCCTGGTGCCCTGGACCAGGCTCACCTTGCAGACACGCAGGTAGCAGGGTCGGAAGTTGTGGGACCACTGGGAAAGGCAGTGGGCTTCATCGATGCAGACAAAGGCCACTGGGGGCAGTTGAGCAAGGCAGGCAGGGCCTCCTGCCCCAGTCCCAACCAGTGCCTCGGGCGACAGCATCAGCACGTGCACCTGGGCTGCGTGAGCCTGGGGATGGGACGGCATGGTCAGGACCACAGCCCAGGGGCCGACCAATGACCTGCCCCGCCCCACCCCACCCCAGGAGGCCCCTCACCTTCTTCAGGGCCGAGTCCCTCTGCTTCTTGGTCAGGCCTGAGTGCACACAGACCACCTTCAGCCCGGGGGGCAGGCCCGACACCTGCAGATACAGGAGCACAACCTGTTGCAGGCCACCCAGCGTGGCCTTTCCCCAAATGCCTGTCCAACTTGCTCAGCCCAACGGCTACCGCCGTGTCTACCCAGGCCCCCAGGGAGCAGACAGGCCCCACTGGGGGTGTACTCCTCCCAGTGCTGCTCCTCTTGGGGGAGGACCCAAGTCTGGCCAGCCACGTCCCTGCTGCCCTCATGGGTATCTATTGCTGCCTTCCACCTGTGCCGAGGGTCCTGTCCACACACCTGGTCGTCCATGAGCGAGAGGAGAGGAGAGATGACCAGTGTGAGGCAGGGGCTTCGCCGGGCGTACAGTAGCGCAGGAAGCTGGTAACACAGGGACTTGCCAGCACCCGTGGGCAGCACCAGCAGCGTGGACATGCCTAGGTGGGCCTTAGGTCAGCAGCGCCACTCTGTGGCCCTGCCTTACCCCCCACCCCCGGCAGCCACACTCACCAGACAGGATGCGCATGACCGCGCACTCCTGTCCAGGGCGGAAGGCTCGGTGCCCCAGCTGCTCCAGGGCCTGCAACACCTCAGCTGGTGTCTCTGTGGACACAGAAGTTGGTCAATATGGCCCTGAGTCACGCCACCCCTTAGGAAAGTCTGATAGGTGTCTGCTCACCTGCCACCTGACCTGAGGACCCTGGCAGGTAGAGTGGTGGCACAGCTGGGGGCGGGCATGGTGGCACAGGCGGCTCCACAGGCACCAGCAACTCAGGCCCAGCAGGTTCTGTCTTTTCCTCACCTGCTGAAGGCAGGCAGGGGAGGGTGGTGTGGGAGCTCTAGGTTGTGGCATCATTCCAGCAAGGCCATTGGCCACCTCTCCTCCACCCATCCACTCACCAGCTGGCAGCTGGCAGCTGGCAATGTCCATCCTCTGGGATACTTCCTCCAATGCAGGCAGGTTTTGCCTGTCCTTGTCATCCTTGCCACCATCCTTCTGAAGGGCCAGGGTAGGTTCTGGATCAGGAGTAGAGTTAGTAGGGCCTTTTGCTGAAGCCATACTGTCCCCATCCCCAAAGAGCACAACACCCTTTCTAAGCAGCATTGGCCCAATCCACTACCCAGGGCTGAGGCCTCACCTGACTGGAGGCACTGGGATGCCCAGTGGCCGAGTTGCCCACACCGGAAACAAGAACCCTTGGCTGTGGTTCTGAGCTGACTGCCCCTAAAACGTTCCTGTTTTTTCTGCCACTTCTGCTTCCACACCTGGGGGGAGGCCATGAAGGAGTGTCACAAGGCCAGAGTTGGGAGGGGTGAGGGACACGCCTGCAGCCATCTCACCTGCTTGCGGAGGAATCTGCCACGCAGGGCCGGGCCCCGCACATAGCGTTTCTGCTTTAGGTTGAGCCGAATGTAATTACCTCTGTTCCAAGCAGCTGGCCTAGAAAGAATGCACAGGTGGGACGTGCCCAAAGCCCTCCCCACCCTGGCCCAACTCAAGGCCACCTCGCTGGGAGGCTGAGGCTGTGGTACCTGGGGGCTGCAGGGCTGCGTGGGCGCTGAACCTGCACGGGCCCCCCTGGGCAGTCCTCCACAAGCGCTGCATCCCCAGCGCCCTCAGGCAGGGGTCGCACTTGGCCGCTGTCCTCTTGGGCCTGTGCAGGGCTCCCCTCTGGCTCCCTACTCCGGCTCCGCTTCTTGCCTTGACTGCTGCCAGGTGGGGGGCTCCATGCACTGACTGCGGCTCCCTGCACCGAGTCCGGAGCCTCTGAGCCCTGTGAAGGTGCCTCGAGGCCAGTGCTGGGACCAAGGACAGATGGGACACCTGAAGTCAGAGACTGTGGCTCCTCTGTACCCACGATGGGCTGGCAGACCTCAGGATTCTCCAGAAAATCTGGGGTCTCACTGTCACATCGCTGCAGCCAGCCAGGATCTAGGGAGCCCAGCCGCAGGCTGAGGGAGGCCCGCAGCTGCTGGAGCCGGCCTGGCCTCAGCTGGGGCCTGGGAGGCTGGGGAAGCACCTCACTGACTTCTTCTGGAGAGATGGTGGCAGTCCCTGGTAGCTGCAGGGAAGGCCTCTTGGTGGAGGGTCTTCGTGGAAGCCGAGGTATGTGGCTCAGGGCTAGCCCTGCCTGGGAAAGGGAGGACAGGCAGACCAGCAAGCAGGAACTTAGGCTCTGGGCAGCCCCATACTCTGAAACCTGCCCGAGTCCTCACCCTCAACAGTGGGGCAATGTGAGAAGCATTAGGCTGGAACAGAAAAGAAGCTGAAAGCAGAGACTGCCCTGAACCCCTTTCAGAAGTCGTGCCCTGGTCAATGCTGGGAGCACCCATGTGCGCTAATGCAAGCATGCGAATGTATGAGAAAAAGTTGACAGGAAGAGGTGTTTCGTGATCCTGACCTTGGGCTGAGGGCAGTTCTGGACCCAGGTTGGACCACCAACACGGCCCTTACCCCTCACCTGCATGGTGCCCTTTACATTGGCCTTAAGCCTCTCCCCGTAGTCCTGCACAGACCCACGAGGACTCGGCCCTGGAGTAGGGTGGGGCGTCAGGGTTGCAGCCCGATTCAGGTGGGACCCCCAACAGCTAGGCTCCAGCACCTGCAGAAGTGGTGGCTCAGACCAGGCAAAGGCTGGTGTGGAGAGTAGAGTGATCCTCATCGCCCCGCTCCAGCCCCTCGGAGACCTGGAGGGGGGCCTGGCCCTCCACCCTGTTCAGTCCTTCCCCAAGTTCAATGCTCCACGGAGGCTTGGCCACGACTCCTCTTGGCTCTGCCATACAGGCAGCTAAACCGCAAGGCTGGGGTATCGGGGCACGGGTACCTCCTTCGCTGCCGCTGGAAGCGATTGCACCGGGCCGTGGGGCCCAACGCCGCCGGCCTGGCCCAGGGTCCCCTTCAGGGCGCGGTACTCCCGATAGAGTGCTAGGGGCGGGGCCAAGGGTCAGGATTCGGGGTTCGGGTGGATCCCGCGCGGCTCCCTCACCCCTCCGGCCCTCCGCCTGGTTCCCCCGCCGCTCCCTCCGCCCCGCGCCCGCGCACTCACCGCGGGTCTCCTCGGGCGCCTTCTCCACGTCCTCCTGTGAAGGGAGCGTGTCAACCCGGGTCCTCACCCTCAGTTCCCGCCCCCCGGGCAGCCCGCACCTGGCCCGGCCGCCGCTCATGACGCCTCCGGAACGCACGTTCCCACGCCTGCAGCTGCATCCGCACGTCCCGCAGCCGCTCCATGGCGCGCGCCTGCCCGACGGGCTTGGTGCCCCGCGCCCAGTGAATCTCCCGCCGCGAGGGCGACTCCGGCCGCCAGCCAATGGGGGCGCTCAGCGCGGTCGGAGGCGGGGCGTCGCGGCTGCCGCCTGGCCGGGACAGCCAATCAGTGGGGCCTGGAGGGACATCCAATTGGGGGCGAAACGTCATCGCGGCGCGCGGCGGCCCTGGGCGGGGCGCGACGCACGGCGGGGCGGGGCTGTCGGCGGTGGAGGCGGCTGCGGGGGAAGGAGGCCCCTGGGTGAGTGCGGGCCGCTTGCCGGGGACTGAGCGGGGCGGCGCGCACTCTTGACCCTGCCGGGATCCCGGGCGGTGTACCCGTGGGGCGGGGAAGGACCCGGATCGCCGGGCTCAGCGGCCTTGTGCCCGGGAGGCGACGCACTGGAAGGCGGAGGGCTTCGGATTGAACGCCTCTGGCGGCTCAAAGCCGGGAGGAGCCGTGCGGGGGCGTCTTCGGAAACGCAGGGAGCCGCGGACCTGCGGGAGGGGGCGGCGGCCACCGCACTGAGGCTCCTCCCCGGGTGACCACACTGGCTGCTTTCGTTTCCTCTCGTGACAGGTGCTCGGTTGGTCTGTCCTGTCACAGCGAGGCATGAATCATCCTCGCGAGATTTGTCCACAGGCAGAGCGAGGCCGAGGCTTGGCATCCGGGGCTCCTCAGGAACCGGTGCTCTACGGGCTTATGTTGTGTGTGAGGCCTGGGGCCAGACTGACCGCCACCCTGAGCTCACCAGCCAGGCTGCGACTGTAGTCGGGGAAGGCCTAGGTCTTAGTCTTCTCATCCGGTTTCAGGGGGATAGGCGGGAGGCACTTTTGGGGATGAGGTGCCTGGCGCACAGTAAGTCGCCTAACTCTTGCTGTTGCTGAAATCGGCAGAGCTGACACCGGGTATCCTGTGTGCCCTTTCTCAGCTTGGATGCCCGGTTGGCAGCTGCTTCTAACCGTCTGAGCAATCTATGGCCTGGGGCCTTCTGAACCCATGGGTTTGAGACTTGGTCTTTCAACGTGGTTCTTCAGGGAGGAGGGAGACGTTTAGACAGGTGACAAGGCTCTCATTGGGTGAGGGTTGTTTTGTCTCTGTCTCCATGTTTGGCAGCACTGCTGACCTAGTAGTTAGGACCGGGGCTCGTGTTGAGGGCTTGGGTTACTCAGACCATGTGGGCTCTGTCCTCTGGGTTCTGGTCCTTTCTACCTGTCCTGGTGTTTATTAAGGTGCATTTGTGCTTCCACCCATTCTCTGCGGTGCTGCATGGGATCCAGGGGCCGCTTGCAAGAGCCTCTGAAGAGGGCAGGGGAGGGAACTGTGATGCAGCTTCCAGTCCCCTTCCTGGTATCCCCTCCACCCCCAGTGCCTGTGAGGGTAGGGGCTGGAGCTTTATTCTACTTTTGAGGAAGAGAGGACCCCTAAGAAGCAGCTTTGTGACTTAGGTGTCCTGAAGTATAAAATGGGGGGCCCTGAAGAGCAACAGGTGTCAAAAGCATGTCCAGGTGGGCTGGTCCTTTCCTGTCATGTTAGCGTGTGCTGCTCTGATGGCTTTGTTTCCCTAAAGAGGCCCCCATGCTTCTGGAGGGTGGGAACTAGGGGGTGGCCTTGTCCCCCTTTCCAGTCCTCCCAGCTCATTGCTAGACATCTAGCACTTGCTCTTCAGGGCCCTGGCAGCCACTGTGCTGGGCTGTCTCACCACCAGTGTGTAGAGGGGTCCGTGGCCGGGCGGTGGCTTGGGTTTGCCCTTCCCGCTGAAGGTCCCTTCCCTGCAGGTGGCCTCCCGCCTGGCCCAGCGCCATGCACACACTTGTGTTCCTGAGCACGCGGCAGGTGCTGCAGTGCCAGCCAGCTGCTTGCCAGGCCCTGCCCCTGCTGCCACGCGAGCTCTTCCCCCTGCTGTTCAAGGTGGCCTTCATGGACAAGAAGACGGTCGTGCTGCGCGAGCTGGTGCACACATGGCCCTTTCCACTACTCAGCTTCCAGCAGCTGCTGCAGGAGTGTGCACACTGCAGCCGGGCCCTGCTGCAGGAGCGGCCCAGCACGGAGAGCATGCAGGCGGTGATCCTGGGGCTCACTGCCCGGCTCCACACCCCAGAGTCTGAGGCTGGCACGCAGCCCCTCTGCAGGTATGAGCTCACCAAGAGGCCCTCAGGCCTGGTGGGGGTGGGGTGCAAAGAGGGTCCCCTGAGAGGGTATAGGCTGGTGTCAGAGCTCAATACAGGGAGAGGGATGTTGCTTCTGTGCCAAGGTGACTGGGAGTGGGTGTGGGCTCTGCCCGCTCATCGCCTGCCTCAGCCCATCTGTGCTCCCAGGAAGCATGCACTGCGGGTGCTGGACCTGACGGGCCTCCTGGATGATGGTGTGGAGCAGGACCCCGGCACCATGAGCATGTGGGACTGCACGGCAGCCGTGGCCCGCACATGCATCGCACAGCAGCAGGGTGGTGCTGTGGAGCCCGGCCTGGCCCCTGTGCCTGTGGAGGTGCGTGTAGACCTGCGGGTGAACCGGGCCTCTTATGCATTCCTGCGGGAGGCACTCCGCAGCAGCGTGGGCAGCCCGCTGCGGCTGTGCTGCCGGGACCTGCGGGCGGAGGACCTGCCCATGCGCAACACCGTGGCCCTGCTGCAGCTCCTGGACGCGGGCTGCCTGCGCCGTGTGGATCTGCGCTTCAACAACCTGGGCCTGCGCGGCTTGTCTGTCATCATCCCGCATGTGGCCCGCTTTCAGCACTTGGCCAGCCTGCGGCTGCATTACGTGCACGGGGACTCGCGGCAGCCCTCCGTGGACGGTGAGGACAACTTCCGCTACTTCCTGGCCCAGATGGGCCGCTTCACCTGTCTGCGGGAGCTCAGCATGGGCTCCTCTCTCCTCTCCGGACGGCTGGACCAACTGCTCAGGTGGGCAGGCCCCACTGCTGCTCTGCCCCTCCCTCCCTAGTCCCTCCCCTGGCCCTGCCTATCTGTGACCCAGTCTCCCCTGCAGCACCCTGCAGAGCCCCCTGGAGAGCCTGGAGCTGGCCTTCTGCGCTCTGCTGCCTGAGGACCTGCGCTTCTTGGCACGGAGCCCCCATGCTGTCCACCTTAAGAAGCTGGACCTGAGTGGCAACGACCTGTCCGGCAGCCAGCTGGAGCCCTTCCAGGGTCTGCTGCAGGCGGCAGCGGCTACACTGTTGCACCTCGAGCTGACCGAGTGCCAGCTCGCCGACACCCACCTCCTGGCCACCCTCCCCATGCTGACTCACTGCGCCAGCCTCCGCTACCTCGGGCTCTATGGCAACCCGCTGTCCATGGCGGGCCTCAAGGAGCTCCTGCGGGACTCGGCGGCCCAGGTGGAGCTGCGCACAGTTGTGCACCCCTTCCCCGTGGACTGCTACGAGGGCCTGCCCTGGCCGCCACCTGCCTCGGTCCTGCTAGAGGCCTCTATCAATGAGGAGAAGTTTGCCCGTGTGGAGGCCGAGTTGCACCAGTTGCTGCTGACCTCAGGCCGTGCCCATGTGCTCTGGACCACAGACATCTACGGGCGCCTAGCTGCAGACTACTTCAGCCTGTAACCTTGGGCTTTGGGTGAGAAACAGGCTGTCCTGGGGGCCAGGGCTGTTGGAGGCCCCCCTTGGGTAGGCAGAGCCTTGGCTGGGACCCTGACATGAAGGCACTGGTCTCGCATTTCCTTGTTCCTGCGTGCGCCTCAACCTCCTTGTGCTTTTTGCAGTGTCCTGTGCAGATTGCCCTGCACCTGCTTCCCTGACTGGCCGGCCATCTGTGGGCCTGGGGTCTGCATTCCCGGCCTGCATAGCCCTACTTAGTTTGGCTACCCTCTGGTATCCTGGCCCTCTCCTCAGAATGTTCCTGGGGTCTCAGTGCTGAGCTAAGGGAGGGTGTTCTCTCTGGGCCCTGTCCAAGAACAGACTGTTCTGGGGCTGAAGTTGGGACAGGGGCCTTCTTCGAGGAGGGTTGGGTCCTGATGCACTCTGTCCGGAGCCTGTCACAGTTTTCCCAGCCCTGGCACCCGGGACACCCAGTTGGCCGTGCTTTGGAGCCAGAGGCTGTCATTAAGGCACAAACGTGCAGTGTGTTTGCAACTTAAATATGTGGCTGCCTTTTCTGTCCTAATGGATTAGAGTGCCTTATCTTGGCTGTGCTGTCAGCCCAGTACCGGCCCCTGGGTAAACAGCTGTCTTCTAGTTTGCTGCCCCTTCTCCTTCCCTGCTGGGGAGCCTCCAGCAGCACAGCCCTTCTGGGCATTTCCAGTCTGTCGCCCAAGCTCCTCCAGCGGGCTTGCGGGGCCAGAGGCAGGCCCTGGAGAGCTGGAGTTCCAGGTGATTCTGGGCGGGGTCTTTTCTGGAGGGGCTCAGTGGAGCTGTGGGCAGCCTCCCTGGCCATCCTTCGTTTGCACCCCAGGGTTTCTGTTTGCAGAGCCGCGGGTCCGCAGGCGCCCGCGGCCCGCCCCACCCTTGGAGCCCCCAGACCCCACACACGGCTCGCCGCACACTGCGCAGCTTCCACCCTTTACTGACCGCGCCGGAGCGTGCGCGAGGCGAGCCCGTCGGCCGGCCAATCCGCGGGGCTTGCGTCATCAGCGCGCGCCGCCCGCCCCGCCCCTCAACAGTGGATCTCGTAGGCGGCCGGCGGCTGCATTGGAAGCCCCTGTGCGAGCCCGGGCGCCGCTCCCTCGGCCGCCTCGACCGGGCCCTCGGCGAAGAGCGGCTTGGAGCGGTCGATGACGAACATCTCGTGGCCCCGCTCGTCGCGGAGCTCCTCGAGTTGCGCGAAGGTGCAGGGCCCGTCCGAGTAGTCGTTAACGAACAGCGCGCCCTCCCCTGGCGGCCCCGGCGCCTTTTTCCGCCTGCGGCGCCTGCGACAAATCAGAATCGCCAGCAGCAGCGCCGTGAGGGCGAGGAGCGCGATGGCCGCCACAACGGCCGTCTGCGTGGCCAGGCCAAGGGCGCGGAAGGCCATGTTGCCCGCCTCGTGCAGGGGCTCAGGGGGCGGCGGCGGTGCCAGCTGCAGCTGGTGCTGCCGGGACAGATTGACCAGGAGCTGGAAGGGCACGCGGGCGGCGCCGCCGGCATTGGAGGCCTCGCACTCGTACTTGCCGGCGTGCGCCAGGGTGATATTGGTGAGGAAGAGCATGCCGCTGCCCGTGTCCGAGGCCCCGTGTCCGCCTGGGCCCCGCGCCCCGCCTTCTGGCGGGGCCTGGGCCGACGAGTGCCCCTCGCGAGCCAGGGCCACCTTTCTCCAGGTTACCAAAGGCTGCGGGTAGCCCGAAGCCTGGCAGGCAACCCGCAGGTCCTCACCCAGGTTGGCTGTCACCTCCAGCGGCTCAACATGCACAGAAGGCGGGATGCAGATGAGGCTACTGCCAGACACATCCAGGAGATTCTGAAGTGCCAGGCGTGGGGGCTCTGCACACATGATCTTCTTGTCTCTGGAACTGAGCAACCTCTGGCCTCCCTCCTTGATCCAGGCCCCCAGCCAATGCAGGGCACAGTCACAGCGCCATGGGTTCTCTGTGGGCAGAGAGCGGTGGGCAGGTAGCTCAGGGGTGCCTCCAGATCACAACCTGTGCCGTTGGGGTTTTGTTGGCCAGAGCAGGAGTTCCTTTGCCTCCTCCCACAGAGTCGGGGACCTCTGCCACCCTGCTGACTGTGAGCCCCTTAGAGTGTGGGCAGGCTGTTCCTCCCCCCTTTAGCTCTGTGATGTACTTCAGTTCACTTGAGCGACCTCCAAGGAAGCTCCTGCCTCTGAAGTCTCCCTGCAGGCTCTCCCACTATGTTGAGGGAGCCATGGTGTCCACAGACATCTAGCCAGCACTAAAACTTTGCAAATCTTGTCAGCCTTGTCTTTAGGTGCTGTCTCCCAGAAATGCCCCTAGTCCTGTCTCATCTTTCCAGTTTCTGCTTGCCCTCCCTCGGATGGTGCCCAAAGTATACAAACCCCTCAACTCTGTCTAGTCTGTTCAGGGACTTCTGTCTCTTCTGTCTTCCTTACGCAGGGTCCCTGAGCTGTGCTCCTACCAGCACCCCCATTCCTAGCAGTGTTCTATCATGGTTGCTGCTGGTGGTGTTGCCCTCCAGAATGCTGCCCAAGGGCCTGCAGCTCAGAGCCACTGCCATCGGCGTCTCTCCACACCTGCGCCTACTCCCTACTGCCACCACTGTGGCCGAGGAAGATATGTGCATGAGACCCCTTGCCCCCGGAAGAGGTACCTGTGAGGCGCAGGACCTGCAGGCTGGCCAGGGGCTGCAGGGCCTCACGGCTGATGGTGCCCAGCTGGTTCCTGCTGAGGTCCAGCAGTGCCAGGGATGAGAGCCCAGCCAAGGCCTGGTCTTCCAGCAGCTCAATGCTGTTTTCCTGCAGGTGCAGCTCCTGTAGTCGCTGAAGCAAGGACAGCAGATCATCAGGGAGAGGGGCCCTGGGGGACATGTCCCCTTATCAGACTAGGCTGGGCTGACTTTTGTCCCCTTCACTACTCCAGCCACGCACAGCATGGTAGTACAGGAGCACCCCTCCCTTTTGCCCATTTCCCCCCTCACCGGCAGGTGCAGGAAAGTGAAATCCAGCAGCTGCACCAGCTGGTTACCAGCTAGATAGAGTATGCGCAGCTGGGCCAGGCCAGAGAAGACGCCCACACGCAAGCCTCGCAGCCGGTTGCCTGTGAGTGCCAGCTCCAGCAGGCGCGACTGCGAACCAAAGGCGCCTGGCTCCAGGGCGCGCAGGCTGTTGTTGTGCAGGTAGAGACGGCGCAGGGCGGCAAGGGGCGCCAGGATGCCTGGCTCCAGGTGCGCGATGCTGTTGTCCTGCAGGAATAATGTCTGCAGGCCAGAGGGAGGGAGGGAAAATGGGTGGGTATTCAAGCCGCCGAGGGAGTCTCCCTCTAGCCTAGGGGCCCTGTCCACCCATAGGACGTTCACACACACTTCCCTTCTGTCATGGGCACCCGTGGCCCGCGGCCCCACCTGGTGCCCACCTGCGTCCCTGGCGGGATTCCAGGCGGGACAACGCGCAGCCGCAGGGCCCCGCACTCCACCGTGGCGCTGTAGCAGCGGCAGGCCGCCGGGCAGCCAGCGGCGCAGGGCGAGAGACTGGGCAGTGAGAGCAGCGACAGCAGCAGCAGTGCTGGCGGCCCCGGGGCCATCTCCTGCGGGTCCAGTTGTGGACCACGAAGCTTCTTCAGCCTCTTCACCAGCTTCAGTACAGTCGGCCTGGGTGGGGTGCGCCTCCCGAACCCTGCCCCTAATGTTTGAGAGCCAGGGGAGAGCATGGATGGAGGCTCAGCCCGTGTCTAATGTTTGAAAGATTACAAATCAGTTTAAGAGACTGATAAAACATTCGTTTCCTTCCTTTACAAAACCAGGCCAGTGCCCTGCTCTTCCCGCTCCTGCCTGGCACTGAGGCTTCCCATTCAGGCATGTGGACGTCTGGGCAGCGCTGCCGTCTACACCCCAGCAACCAGCCACTGCTTGGATCTGGGGTGCAGCGGCTGCTGCAAGGTACAGGCTTGGGACCACGTGGGTGGTGAGGTCCAGGGCTGATACCCAAGCATGGATCAGCAGGGAAAGAGCAGGCTCCGGCTGACATGTCCCCTTGTGTATGTGGACTCCTCACTCGGGCCAGACACGGGATCTCATAAGGCAGAGTCCAGTGCAGAAGTCCCTTTTGTGCCCCCAGAACAAGCCCTGAGGCCCCACACTGTCAGTGTCCCTGTCCTTACTTTACCTTCATCCAGTTGTCTAGTCCTTTTATCCCTATATCTCATGCTCTGTCCCCCACCCTGGGATTCACCTGTTGCGACTTGGTGGGGGACAAGGGCAAAACGGACCTTAGGGGAGCCACCAGCCACATCAAGGCACAGCTTTGTGCAGCCCCTGCCCTGCTAGGGGTGGGGGGGAATACCTTAGCGGGAATGAGGGCTTTTTCTCAGGGAACTTGTCAGACAATTGGGGGAATGAAGCGAGCAATAGGAAAGTCATTTCAGAGGCGATGGGCCTGTTATCCATGCTGCCCCACCCCCAAAGTGCCTCTGTCTTTGGGGGTTGGTTGGGTTCTGGAATGGCTGGGGTGTGAAAGAGGAGTCTTGAACCTCCAACTGGGTTCCTAGTATAGTTTCAACAGTGACCAGGAATGTGCAGTGTCTTGGGAGCTTATGCACATGCAGCTGTGATCCTAGAGAGATGGGAAGGCCTGGGTCTAATTCCAGGCACAACGAGTCCAGTTATTTAAAGGTGGGGATGTGGGCTGAGGGTGTGCTGTCACCCATCAAGCCCCACCTCAAATGGTCCCCACTCTGAACACCCGTCTGTTCATCAGGTCTCCCTGCTAGTGAGTCATGTGGAAAGGTACCAAGTGACTTTGGTGTTTGTTTAAATCTCGCACTAAAGTGTAACTCATGATTATTTGAAGTCACTAGAGATGAGATAGGCACAGCAAAAGTTTTAATAGAATAGCTTTGGCCCAGACAGAGGCAATTCCCAGGTGTCTCAGGGTGTGTGTGAATCCCAAGAAGCTGGGGGATTTCTCTGGGTCCCTGGCATCCATCTCCTTGAGCAAAAGGGCTGCCCTGGGGCTGGCCCACCTAGCCTCCAGCCGCAAGGCCCCTCAAGTAGAGAAGGTTCTTGGCTTCTTCCTCAGAACTCAGGGCACTGCTCCTCACAGGACACCCCTAGATGCCAGTCTGTGTAGAAAACACGGCCTGGGCAGGGATGAGGGCCCAGGCAGGAAGTGCAGGGGAGGCCTGCCCAGAAATCCTTTGACCCAGCGGATAACCCCCTAATCCGGTTGGGCAGGGGGCGGGGCGTAAAACACAGGCTTCAACGATGGCTTTCACTGTCTCCGGGGCGCCCATTTGTGCGGGGGGGGGGGGGGGGGGGGGGGGATAGGGTAGAGGGAGGAAGCCCTGCGACCCCGTCGGGCGCAGGGCCAGGCTCAAGCCGGGAGCCTCGGTCCCCCACGGCGGCCCTTGAGTCCCCTCTAACGGGTCTGTCACGGAACATTCAGGGCAGGGCGTGGTCTCCACTAGGTTGCACGCCCTTTTCGGTGCGCGCTGAGGACAGACCCGGGAAGGTACCCCGATGCCGCCCCCACGCCCGCTGACCTTGGGTCGGGCGCCCCCTCACCTGACACTCCCGCGGCGCGGCTCCCCCGCCGAGCCCGCGGCGCCCCGGCCGACCGAGCCTCGCCGGGCGGGGGAGGGGCGGGAGCCCCTCGCGCACGCGCACTGGAACCCCTGCGCCTCCTGTCCAGCCGCCCGGGCCTGCTGTCGTGAGTGCGGGCGGAACCAGAGGGCGCCCCAGGCCCAGGGTGTAGGGAGTACAAGGACCCGTGACCCCGCCTCTTCCCGCCGTCTGTAGGTGCCCGGGCCGCGGCAGCACCACGGACAGTGCCGGGAGAGGCGGGGCGGGGCTGAGGTGGCCCTCTGCCGCGCACGCGCACTGGGCCGGCGCGCTCTCCTAGTGGCGCGTGCGCAACGACGTGGGCAGGAGGTACGGGAGCAGCGGCCGGATCGCGGCGTGGGGGTGAGGGGGCGGACCGGGGATGCCCCCGCAGCCGCTCTCCTGATGCCTAGGGCGGCTGGGCGGCGAGAAGCAGCGGGGCCAGGTCCATGGTGAGGGCGACGCGGCGGCCTTGCCACCGAACGTGCGAGGGCAGCGCGGACACGCCGGGGGCGTACTCGAAGCAGGCACTGAGCTCAAAGGCCAGGGCGGAGCGCACCAGACCCACGCCGCCCGCGCGCTCTGGCGCGGGGTGGTAGAGGCGCCCGTTGGCGGCGAGGGGCAGCAGACGCGCTGGCTCAAAGGGCACGGTCAGGGCCTCCCCGCCGCCACAGTAGGAGAGGCGTGGGGCCCCGGGGCCCGCAGCCAGCAGATGCGTGAAGACCACCGGCTGGTCCTCGCAGCGCAGGAAGTTGCGTTCCCTGCCGCAGGGCGAGAGGAAGGGGAAAGAGGCCTCGTAGCGCCCGCTGCGGTTCGGTCTCAGACGGGAGAAGAAGGTGACCAGGAACTGTGGGTCTGCGGGAGTTTGGGGGGACAAGGGCTGCTCACCATGCCAGGAGCCCGAGATCATCGGGCCCTGCTCCCCCAGACAAACAGCTCGCTCCTGGTTACACCAAGGGCGGACACCGGCTGTCGTTGGACCGCCCTGGCTTCCCCTAGATAGCGGCGCTGTTGAGCTTAGGATGCCCATTCCACTGCTGCGGGGAGGGTTGGGGGGCGGAGCCCGCCAGGACTTTCTTGGAAGGGATAAGGAAGGCGGGGGGAGGAGGGCGCAGCAGTACCTTTGAAGCAGGTGATGAAGTTCTTCATTTTGGAATCATCCAGGAAAAGCTGTAGACAGAGGGATAGGCCGTGGCCCATGAGTCCCAGCTGGAAGCGCCCCAAGGCGGGGAGGTCCAGGCAGGCCTGACCCGGGCCAGTGTCCACTTTCCTTGCTCGTCTGCACATCGTGCCCAGAGAGGCGTGTGGAAGGTAAACCTGGGTGCCCAGCCGACGTGCCCGTATCTACCACCACACCCCGGGCGGTGCTTGCTCGCGCACAGGTTCACTGAGGTGGCATGCCATTCCCGTGCCTCTTCCCTCCTTTTAAGCTTATAATCTGATTGCCACCTCCTCTGCGGAAGCTATCTGACTTGCTTTCTTTTAGATATGGTGGTTGCCCCCGCCAGGGCTTCCAAAGCAGGCGGGGCGGCCCAGGGCTGGTGGCCGAAGGGGAAAGAATTGGGGATGCGGGGCGCGGCCACGTAAGGTTGACAGCTGGGGGGACCAGCCCTCTTGAGCTGCGGATGGGCGCCTCAGTGCGCTCCCCTAGCTCAGCAGAGCCACCAGGTCCACTTACCTGAGACTCAGCCCACCCTTCCGGCCCGCCCCCTCCCGCAGGGGTGCTCGCCAGCCCCGCCCCCAGCCCACCTGGCCCTGATGATCCACGTAATAAAAGTACTCTCGGGTGCGAGGCTCGGGGCTCTGGCCCTGAGTGTAGGAGACGCCCCTGCACCCACCGCAGGCCCAGGCCCCGGGGGGCCTCGCCAAGGGCAGGGCCCAGGTCCGGAGCGTCCTGCACGCGAGCCACATCCTTCTCTGGTGCCGGAAGCGGCCAGTGGGTCACGTGGTGGCGGCGCTGCGCGAACACGCGTCCCTCTGCGGCCGAGCCCTCGCACTTTGGGTTCCGGTGTCGGCTGCGGAGCTTGCCCAGCCTGGCTGGCCGCGCCGGTTTCCCGGACTCCCGGGGGCCCACCCTGCCTTCGGGATGGGGACAGGGCCGCCTGACGGCGGAGTGCGTGAACTGGGGTGCGAGTTCGTGAACTTGGAGACGGGCTGGGAGCGGGGCTCTGGAGCGCGCAGGCTGTCCGTCAGCACCTCGGAGGCTGGCTGCCCACACGTGGGCGAGATATTTGCACTTGCCTGTGTGTCCTACCCCATCCCCTGGGCAGCCAGCGGGTCTAACGTGCTGAATAAAAAGGTGGTGAATAAATACTGCCTAGAAGCTTATACCAGGCTGGGGGGAGGGCGTGGGTCAGAAAAAGCCCACCTCCCCGGCCAATCGAGGTCAAATCTGATACCCCAGGTGGCAGCAGACGGCCCAGAGCGGCCTCACACCTTGCGCACCTACCTGGAGCCTCCTTCCTGGCCCAGCATCTCAGGAAACAGCGTTGCTCTTTTCTTCACCCCACCTTCACCCTCCCCCTCCCCCCTCCTCCTACTGACCGCTTTTCACATTCCCCTGACCTGTCCATCAAGATGCCCATATCAGCAACCGGCTTCCCACTGTGGTAAGCTGCCCAGCCCCCGACGTAGACGCCTGCAGCTGTGGGAGAAAACGGGCCACGACAGGCAGCGACCATGGCTCACAAGTTTCCATATGTACTTTATTCACACACAGAGTTGTCACCTACGTCAGTCTGTGGCCAGGCCGTTCCTGCCCAGGCTCCGAGACCACCTGACTAGAACGCACCCCCAGAGTCACCTGGGGCCTCTGCACGGCAGGGAATTTTTTTAATAAATAAAAACTCAACTCTAAAAAATATATATATATAAAAACTGGGGAGAAAGTAAGTTTTATAATTGGAACTCAAAATTCCAAAGTGGAAAATGTACAAACTGAGGGTCTAGGTACCCCCCTCTCCCCAGTTCTGGCCTGCAGGGAGGGCAGTCCTGGGCACCCTCTGGCCCCCAGCTCGGCGCCTTCCCGCTCATCTGCTGTAGTTCACAAGTGGGGATGGGGCAATGTTCATTTTTTGGTCGGAAGCCAAGAAAGTGGAGAAGAAAATAAAGGAATGATAGCAACTTGCTCTGCAGAGGACGGGCTAGTACGGCTCGGAGATAAATAGCATTTGGGTTAAAACTATGTCATTAGCAAATTTAGTTCTTATATCTTTCACTATTTATATGTCTATACACAGGTGGGTTAGGGTGCAGGACAGATTCTGAATTTATAGTCACACCAAGAAAAAAATACTCTCACCCCTCCCCCACCCTGCCCCAAGAATGCCTGCCCAACACTGACCCCCAAAGGACTTTGGTTTGGGGGCCTCTCCCCACCCAGATAGTCTGCCGGGCCCTGGACCAGCTGGGCCTGGCTCTGGTGGTGGACAGCCCAGTGCCCTGGAGCCCCCAAACTCCTGTGCAGTGACTATGATGGAGGCCACTGGTGGTGGGGAAGTGGGAGGGCGGGGTCCGGGGAAGGCAGAAGCTGCAGGCCAGGAGACCGAAGGAGATAAGGGCAGCCTGTCAGGGCCCAGGCCAGGGCCAGGCTGAGCACAGGAGCCCCTGGGAGGCAGCTCACCCTGCGGAGGTTGGCGTGTGCTCTCGGGCGCCCAGGAGGGGCAGTGTCACTTGGCTCCAGGAAACAGAAGGCACTTTCTCGGGGCTGACCTGAGGCCGGCGGTGGGAAGGCGATGCCCATGGAACTGGCCACGAGGCGGGGGACCAGAGGCACCCTTCCTGTAGCCCCTCTGCCCTGGCTGTGCCTTCAGGCCGAAGGCCTGGGAGAGGGGGAGGAGATGGGGGGTGGATAGAGTTCCAGGGCTGGGGCGGGCACTCGCGGAGCCTGGCATGCTACCTCCGCAGCTGGGGCGTTCCCTCCCCCCTCCCCGCGTGCTCCCCTGCCCGGGTGCACCCGAGCTTCAGCTCTGTCCCCACCCTTGGCCCACGTGCTATAGCACGCCCTCCATGAAGCTGGTGTCCAGGTGCTGGATAAGCACGCGCAGGAATGACATCTCCTTGCGAGTGTTCTCGAAGATGACACGCGGGTCGTCCGATCGGCAGCGCAGGCAGTTGGGAGCCATCACCATGGCCAGGTTGCTGACGTCCATCTTTGTGATGGCCACATTGGCAGGCTGCACGAACACCTGTGCGGGGCAGCAGCTGGTGGGCCCAGGCGGGGCGCAGGGAGTGCCCAGGATGGGGTGGGGGGTGGTCGGGGATGAGGGGCGTGGCCGGGGGACAAGGGCATGGCCGGGGCAGGGCCCGCCGCCGCGCACCTGGAGAAAGCGGATGAGGTAGCACAGCACCAGGCGATTGATGCGCGGCAGCGCGTGCACCACGGCCACGGCGGCCTCTGGGCTCTCGTAGTGCGCGATGCACTGCTCGTAGAACTCGTGCGGGATCAGGGGCTCCTCCAGCTCCCGGTACCACAGCTTCAGCAGCGACGCTACTGTCATCGGAACTGTGTGTGTGTGTGTGTGTGTGTGTGTGTGTGTGTGGTGCTCAGCCAGGTCGACGGGGCTGGCATCCCTGGGCAGAGCACGATGTGGTGGGGCACTCGTCCGACCCACGCGAAGGGTGTGAAAGGGGCAGCAGGCGGCCTGAAGGGCCGGCGGCCGGGACCAGGCTGGAAAGAGTCCTTTTGCTCAAGGTGGGCTGCGCGGGCGCAAATGCTAGCGAGCTCGTGGACCTGAGGGCTTGGACTGATCCTGACGGTCTGGGGAATTATGCTGGGATTGATGTGCAAAAGGACTTCCCCGAAGGGCTGTGCAGCTGCTGTGAGTAGGCAAGGATGGAGGGAGGGCCCGGGGCAGCTGCCCAGTGGACAGGGGGACGTCTGTGCTGGAAATAGGCAGGGTGCAGAACATCTGAACTATAGGATCAGGCCTGTTCCTGCTACCCAGGGGGCTGGGGGCTCACCTGGTACATGAGGGTCCTCCAGGCCTGTAGGCACCTTCCACTGGTCCACCTGTAGCTTCAGGGCGTTCACTTCATCAATGTCCCCAGGGACTCTGTGGAACACAGGGCAGGTATCAGGGAGGAGATTGAGTTCCCCTGTCTCGGCTGCTCAGCCCCTCCCCTCCTGATTGGCCTCCTCACCAGGGAGGTGTGGCTTGGGCCACGCAGATGCATTCCTGTGCAGGACCCACCAGCCTGTTCCCAAGTTGTCCTTCAGAGGCTTGGGTATGTGAGTCATGAGAGCAGGTGACTGGCCATGTGCCACCCCCAAGGGGCAGGGACTGTCATCCCCACTCATAGGTGAGGACTGACTGGTGGAGGTGGTACATCTCTCCAGGTTCCTATCGCAGGCCCTACCCATGGTTGGTGTCCAAGTGCCCTCTGGGCCCCTAGTGGCTATTTCTGCAGTGACACTGTCCCTAGCCAGCTGTCCTGCCTGGGTTTGGGCGTGCTGCCATTCAGGGGGACTACCCTGCTGCCCTGCCTCTCCTGGCCACACAGTGGCCTGGCCCTTCCACTAGCTCCAGGATGCCTCCCCCCCACCTGCACGCTGCCCTTTCGGAGCTGTTCTGACTCTGCTACCCAGGCCTGGTGCCCAATGGCCCGTCTGCCCGAGACCTGTGGTGGAGACACTGGAGGCACCACCCCCAATGCCCAGGTTGCGGGGCACCTGAAGATGCCTTCCGTCTGGTCGCCGTTGAGTGCCAGCACCTCCTCAGACAGCCGCGTCTGCACCCAGGGTAGCTGGCGGTCTGGGTAGCGCTCCTTCTGCATGCTCATGACGTCCTGCAGCGCGCTGCCGAACATGGACGGGCTGAACACGGCGTTCTTGGCATGCCGGATCTCCTCCACGCTGGGCTTCCTCAGCCCCTGCGAGACAGCCGCTGTGCTGGTGGCCCCGCCGCCTGCCTCTGCCCACACCCCTCCGAGGGCTGCCCTCCTCTCCCTTTGTCCTCTCATCCCTGAACTCCAGGTTTCTGCCCAGCCGGAGCTCCCTGGCCCAAGTCACCAGGGCCCCCCCTGCTGGGCCACCAACAGCATCCTGAAGTTTCATGGGAGCCAGGTGGACATGACTCTTATGCAGGCCAGCCTGGGAGCTTCCTGAGGACAGAGGGGTCACATGAGGTGGCCTTAGGGTGGTGGACAGGAGTGGCCTGGGGTGTGTGTCTGGTTGTGGCAGGGCTGCAGCAACGCACTTGGGGGTGAGGTGGTGGGGAGGGGAGGCCAGTGTCTGGGACAGTGGGGCAGCTGCCTTTGAGAAGCGAGGAGGGTCCAGGGGCTTCCTGGGTGTGCAGCAGGTTGAAAGGTGTGTGTGTGTGGGGGGGCAAATGCGGCAACATCCAGGCGGAAGGATGGCCGCAGGTCCCAACTGGCCAGGTAACAAGACTCAGCCGTGTGGTGGGACTGAGGCCTCCCACCCTCTATGGGGCCGAGGAGGATGGGCGGGGCTGTGGAAGGGGTGGCTGCCACGCTCTGCCAGGTGGAAGGAGGTGTCAGAGAAGCAGTGGAAGGTGCTGCTGGAACCACCTGGGTCCGGCTCACCTGTCTGTGGGGTGGTGCCCACCCCTGGCAGGTCTGTGATGGGTCTGGGCCAGTGTGAGCAAAGGAGCACGCGCTAGTCTTCTGGGCTCACCTGCCAGGGGTGAGGGTCCCCTCTGGGAGCATGCCTGCCTTTTCCACACCTAGCCATGCCAGCCAGATGGTGGCAGGCCTGGGGCAGCTGGTGCTGCTCCCACCCTCCCTAGGTCTGGTGACCTGATGCCCTGGCACACACCCCTTGGCATGCACTGGCTCCTAAGCTGAGGTGTGCCCCTGCCCAAGGCTGTCCCTGGCTGCCTGACAGGTGGGCTCCCCACACCACTGCCCCACCTCCCTTTGGACCCTGGTAGGCGTCACCAGCCCAGCCCACCCGCCCCTGCCTGGCTGTCCTGGGAGAAGCTGGTACCTTCTTGGCCCCAGTCAGGGCCGCCTTCTGCAGCTTGTGGTAGCAGTACTTGGCATACGTGCTGATCGCTACCCCTGGAAAAGAATGGATGCTGGTCGGCCTGGCGTGCATGTGTGGGACACAGGGGCTGCACGCCAGCAGTGAAGGATGGGAAACAGCGAAGGGGCGAGTGGAGGCGGCTCCTGCAAGCCCCTTGTCCAGGGCAGTGGGGCTTCCTTCTCCAGGCCTGTCCTTTGGAGCAGAAACCCACACGGAGAAGCAAGGGGGCACTTCTGTCACCTCCGGAAGGGCCAGGCTGGAGAAGGAACCCCTCTGCCAGCACCCCCCACTCACCCACCCTGTCCAGAAAGGGCAGTTTGAGGGTGAGGCCTATCATCCCTGAGGAGCCACAGGCAGGGCAGGGCAGGGCCTGGGTCGCAGGGGCTCCCTCCCCCAGCTGGCCCTGGGTGCCTAAGAAGGGTCATTTCCACGTGCAGCGGGCCTGGAGGCATTCAGAGGCCACTGTCTGGGCCAGCACACGGTCCTGCTTGGTTGAGGGCTGCCTCAGCAGGGGTGGGGGAGGACGCGGGGGGAAGGGTCAGGGAGAGGGAGGCCCAGGGCCTGGCCCACGGTGGAAAGGCACAAGCGTGGAGGGGTGCCCTGTGTCCTGAGCCTGAGTGTCACTGGGAGGGCAATACCTTTGGGCTGTGCCTGAGGCTGGAGGCTTTCGAAGACTCCAGCCCTGGCAGAAGTTCTAGCCGGTGTTAACGGGGGATGGCTGTGCCAGCATTCTGTGGGCAAGGACCTCAGGGACCTTGGCGAGGGGGCTGTCCAGATACAGGGATGAGGGGAGAGGCCCCACTGGGGCGGGGTCTGAAATGTATAGAGCATCTGTCCTGGCCCAGGGAACGGAGGGAGGGGAGGGGAAGCAGCAGCCAGCCAGAGAGCAGTGAGGCCAAGCCTGGAGGAGCCACCTGGGCCGGGTCCACAGACCACGGGGCAGACAGACAGACGGGTTGGGGCATGTCTCCAGGCTCAGCAGAGGCCCTTCAGAGGATCTGCCCCTGCTGGGCACCCCTGCCCAAGTGCCTGCTGCCTGCCAGAGGGGGCCTCCAGACCCAAGTCTCAAACCCAAACGCGTGAGTCTTGTTTTACAGGAAGCAGTTTTTATGGGTGTCGGAGGACACGGGGACCCTTGGGGCCTAGTGTGCAGAACACAAACATGTCTTAGTCCGTGAAAATCTCACTTCTAACTTTCACAGAGTAGTTTTGTTGTTATAACTGATAAGGGGATTTTTTTGAGAGTAATCAAAATAAAAAACAAGTATTTCTCACAGATGTTTAAACCCTGGAAAATGTTTCAGGTCTTTGGGGACCCATAGGTACCTGGCAGAGACCCAGCTGCAGCCTCTGATCAACTAGCTGGGGACACAGCACCCGTTACCTTCTGCCACAGGCCGACGAGGCCCTTCTGGGTGGGATCTTGCTTTGGGGAGCATGGGTGGTGCTTGAGCAGTGCTCTGACCACTGGGAGCCCAGGGAGTATCCTGCAGAAGGACTAGCTCTACCTCACACTGGGGCCATGCCCACCTCCCCCTCAGGCAAGTGCCTCCTGTCCCTAGTCCTGGGGACTGCTGGGGAGACACATCCTGATCTCTGTCCCAGGGCCTCCTGGGGCCCAACCCGCCTCTCCAGCAGGCTGTGATCTGAAGTGCCCGCCACCTCTCAGCTGGCGACGGCCAGATCCAGCCTTTCTGGGCCTGAGTTCCCTCCTCTGTAGGATGGGGACAGGAACAACACCTGTGTCACAGGTGCTGTAAAGGGCTGACCTTGCAGTCTGGTGCCCAGTGAAGGCCCAGCAAATGCAGCTGCTGGTGTCAGTTTTGTGGGCAGACCAGGGACTGGGGTCCCATGTGCTGCCGTGGGCACAGCCTCCTGGGCCAGGACTGTGGGTGTCTGAATGCCCGGGGGTCCAGGCCGCGCCCATGGGCAGCCCGGGGAAACCCTTGGTGGTGCGGGGTGCTCTGCTCCCAGCCCACTGCCCCATCCGGTTTGACAGGTGGGGAGGCAATGGCCAGAACCTGCCACCTCTTGGCGCTGACCTTGCTGGGTCCCAGGGGTCCAATGCCCTTTACTGCACCCAACACCACCTCAGGCTGGAGTGTCCTGCTCCGGCTGGCCCAGGCCGACATGAACCTGCCCGCTGTGGCCCCAGCCCCATCCAACTGTGGCAGCCCCTTTCAGGAATGGGCTCAGGCAGGGGCTGCAAGTGCCTTTCCTATCCCAGACCTGAGTGGCCCAAGGGCAGCTGGGAATCCTGGGTCACAGCCACCCCATCTGCTCGCTGAGGTCCAGTGGCCTCAGAGGAAGAGGAGCAGAGCAAGGCTGGATGACAGCCATGGGACCACCAGCAGTCCCAGCAGGGAGGGCACAGCCTCGGGTGGGCAGGGCTTCCCTAGAGCCAGGGATGGGGGCTGGCAGTCAACCACTTACCTGAGGTGCCCCCAGCAGGCCTCGGCCCCTCCCCACTGAGAATCCGCATGCGAGTCAGACACTGTTCTGAGACCACAGAGAAAGGCACAGGGCAGGCGCGGCCTCTCCCAGAAGCCACGCCACTGCTCACTGACCCGGGGCCTCCGGCCAGCTCAGGAGGCCACAGGCCTGAGGGTTAGTGCCCACCCCCAGACCCTCAGCCCAGAAGCAGTTAGAGAAGAGGCCAGGTGGCCGAGGCCGGAGAGCAGAGCTGTGCAGACGCAGCCCAGGGCTGCAGAGAGGCCCTACCATCCGGCTGCTCAACATAGGGCTTGGGTTTCTTTCTCAACTTGGACTTCTTCTTAGTGTTCCTTTCCAGGAGCTCTTTCATGTGCTGTGTCACTGGGGAGCAAACAGAGCCATAAGGACCGCAGAACACAAAGCTAGGAACACGCGCCCACAGGGCCCCACATGTGGCCCCAGAGGAGGCCCCTGGGCCTGCCACCGCAGCATTCCACTGGCCAGGGCCCAGCTGGGGGTTGCGGGGCTGGCGTGGGAGCGCTGGTGTGGGCGAGTCCTGTAGGCAGGGCCTCCTGCTCCCCTCCTGAGCACAGGCAGGGTACGTGTGTGCTGTGCAGATGTGTGCAGGCATGTGCAAGTATGTCTGGCTATGTGGCGGGCGGAGGCGCCAGGGGCCCTTCTGCACACTGGTCAGCTCACAACCCTCCAGCCCAACATACAGAAAGGCAGGGGTGCAGCCCTCTTCTTTAATGAGCTGGTGTCAGAGGCACTGAGAGAGGGGCCCGGGCACACCTCCCATTCTGCAAAAAGAACAGCAGCTGATGTGAACCCCTTCGTCCCCCTCCGTCTGGGACTCTACATGGAAGTCACGTTGCACGTACACACTAAGGGTGGAGTTCTGACTCCTCCAATAGTGGGCAACCTGCACGCTGTGCAGGAGACAGCTATGTACCTATGTGGCCATCTGTCACCTATCATTTGTCTATTATCCACCATCTATCTATCTATCTATCTATCTATCATCTATCTCCTATTAATCTATCATCTGTCTATGTATCTATGTATCTATTTTCTATCATCTATTTATGTATCTACCTATCACCTATTATCATCTACCTATCAGCTATCTATTATCTATCATATCATCTATTGATATCTCATCTACCTCTCATCTACCTTCTATCATCTGTCATCTACCTATTATCCCCCATCCCCCTATCTATCTATCTATCTATCTATCTATCTATCTATCTATCTATCTATCTATCTATCTTCTTACACCGCTATGGAATTAGACATTGGTTTTACACTTTGGGTCACAATCTAACATGACTTTATTTTGTTGCACAGATTGCTCCAGCTGGGCACTGGGAGGTCCTGTCACCCGCCCAACATCCCCTGACCTTCCAGCACGTCTCTCTCAGGCACAGCCCTGCACCAGCTCTAGAAGCAGCTGTTTCTCGAAGGCGCTCTGGTTCTTTTAGTAGAAAGTGAGGTTAGAACCCAAGATCTGGGTATCAGGTGTGCTCACTGCTATTGGGCTGGCAGAGCCAGGAAAGCCCCATGTGCACACACATCTGCAAGTATTTCCATGCTGATGCCTCCAGCTCTAATCCATCCCCACATGGACCCTTCAGGCTCCTCTCCATGCTTGTCTATTTTCTCTTAACTGGTTTATCTCCTCATTCTCTTAGCAGTACCTTTTGAAGAGCAGATTTAATTTTGACGAAGCCCAATTTATCAATGATTTTCTTATAGGCAGTGCTTTAAGTGTACCATATAAAACTGCCTAACTCAAGAATACAATGATTTTCTATGCTTTATTCTAGAAGTTTTAGTTTTCAGTTTTACATTTTGGTTTTGTCAAATGCTGCTTCTACATTTGAGATGATCATATGGTTTTCCTTTTTTACTCTGTAAATAGGGCAAATTACAACTGACTCTTCAATGTTAAACCAACCTTTGATTTAATGAATAAACCCCATTTATTCAAGATGCATTATCTTTTTATATATTGTTAGATTCAATTTGCTAAAATACTGTTAACATTTTTGGCTCTATGTTCATGAAGGATACGGTCAGTGCTTTTCTTTCTTGTAATGTCCTTTTCTGATTCTGGAATAGAATAGATTGGGAAATATTCCCTCCACTTCAATTTTCTGGATGAGTTTGTAAAGAATCGGTATACAAACAATAAAATGTTTGGTATAATTCACCAGTTAAGCCATTCGGGCCTTGAGTTTTTTGAGGGAAAGTTTTTAAATGCCAATTAAATTTCTTTAATAGATATACGATTCTTCTGGCTATCTATTTGAGTCATCTTTGGTAGTTTGTATCTTTCAAGGAATTTGTCAAGTTTCCTCTAAATTGTCAAGTTTATTGGCATAAAGTTGTTTATAACAATTCCTTATCATGCTTTTTACATCTGTTGAATCTGTGGTGATATCGTCTCCCATGCTTCGTGTTGGTAATTCATGTCTTCTCTATTTTTGTCTTGATCAGTCTAGTTTGAGGTTTATCAATTTTATTGATCTTCTCAAAGAATCTGCATTTTATTTCATTAATTTTTCTATTTTGTCTTTGACTGTTATCTACACTGATCTTCTTTCTTTTGCTTACTTCTGATATAACTTACTTTTTTTTTAAGTTTCTTAAAGTAGAAGCTGAGGTCATTGATGTCAGATCTTATTTGCTAACACAGGCAGTTCTACTCCAGGTGCTATAAATGTCCCTCTAAGAACTGCTTTGGCAGCAGCCTACAAAATCAGAATGTTTTGTTTTCATTTTCTTTCAGTTTAAAATACTTTGTAATTTCCCTTTCAATTTTTAGTTGACCCAAGGGTCCTTCAGTAGTGCGTTCTTTAGTTTCCAAATACTCGGGAATTTTCCAGATATCTTTGTGTTACTGATTGCTAATTTAATTCCTTGTGGTTAGAGAAAACACTTTCTATGATTTACATTCTTTAACATTTATTGAGCTTTCTAGAGCTCAGGATATAGCCTATTTTGAAAATGTGTCTGGAATTTGAGTCCAGATGCTCTGAGTTCAGAATCTATGCTTTCCCTCACTCCACAGTAGCTGCTTTTTTTCTTAAACAGACTTTCAACTAGTCCTTTTGCTTTCATCTTCAAGGTCACCCCCTTCTCAAACCATTGTTAGAGGAAGCTGGCTCCACCCACTACTGAGCTTTTAAGGGTTTGCTACCTGCTTCGGCTTCTGAGCTTTCTGGCCATCTGCATGGGACCCACCTTTCTTGGTCTGCAAGTCAGTTTCCTGTGACTTGTCCATGAGTTTCTCAGCTTCCAAAACATAGTTCTTCCTCCTCTTCCATTCTCTTTGTCCTTGTCCATTTCGTTTTTTGAAATTGTGATGAAGTATACATAAAATTTACCATTTTCATCATTTTTAATTGTGAAGTTCAGTGGCATTAAGTCCATTTACATTGTTGTGCAACCATCGCCTCCATCTTTCTCCAGAACTTTTTCATCATCCCAAGTGGAAATTCTGTAGCATTAAACAACAACTCTCCATTGCTCCCTGCCCCTAACTCACGGTAACCACCTTTTTACTACATTCTGTCTATGAATCTGATACTCTGTGGGTGACAAATGAGTGGACACACCAAGTATTTGGTCTTCTATGATGGGTTCTTTCACTCACCATACTGTTACCGAGGTTCATCTACGTCTTGGCCTGTGTCAGAATTCCCTTCCTGGTTGAGGCTTGAATAATATTCCATTATGTGTAAACACATTTTGTTCATCCATTCACCTGTCAACAAACACTTGGCTGCTTCTATCTCTTGGCTACTATGAACATGCTGCCGTGAACACGGGTGTACGAATACCTGTCATGTCTCTGCTTTCAATTCTTTTGGGTATTACCCAGGAAAAATGCTGGATCTTATAGTAATTCTACATTTAATTTTTGGATAAATTGCCATTGTTTCCCACAGTGGCTGCGTTATTTTACATTCCCTTGTGAGTTTTGTTTTGTTTTTGCCTTTTATAAATTCCTCCACTGTCCTTTTAGCAGGAGTTCGAGATTAAGTCCAAGTAAATGCATGTGTTCGATGTGCTGTCTCTACCTGGAAGCCGGTAAGTACTGCTGAGGTGTGAATGCGTGAGCAGTGAATGAAAGTCCCAGGGTCTGCAGCCCTCAACATGCTCCTTAGCAGAGTAGATTGCAGAGTTGTCGTCTGCTGTGTCCACCGCCAAGACATGTCTGTGAGAGCCTGATGAGGGTGGTCCTGGGGACACAAGCTGTGAAGTCACCCTGGGGGCTGGCATGAAGGTGTGACCATGCATGAGATGAGGCTAAGCTGGGGGTGGGGGGCACGTGAACCAGGATTCACCACGTGACCTCAGTCCCACAGTGTGGTGTGACACAGATGTCACACACAAGCTGGCAGATGAATCAAAGGCTTTGGAAGTGGAGGCTGGCGGCACAGTTCAGGGTGAGGTGCCCCACACAGGGCAAGCTCAGCTCTGCCCTCACTGGCATTCCGGAGACCGGCTGCAGTTTCCTTTTTCTAAGCACAGGCTCCATCGTCTGTGGCGAGTGGGGCCTGCCTTTCTGATCAGCAGCCGGCACGCACGTTGACAGGGCCCAGTGGGAGGGAGCACGAGGCCTCTCCTGAGGACTCAGTGCTGAGAGGGGCCTGCAGCACATGCCCACTCAGGGTTGGGGATGGGATTCTGGTTGGGGGGCAACCCCATGCCACAGATGTGAGACCACAGAGACCCAGACCACACGGCGCTCTGAGACCAGCATGCCTCGGTCAGCCATGGCTGCCTAGGCTGACCCGTGTCCCTCTTACACACCAGCCAGGCTCCCACAGCACAGACGCTAGAACAAAGGCACACAAACTTCTGTGCCAAGACAGTGTCCAGCCGGGCCCCGCCCGGTGACTACAAGCCAAGCTTGCCGTAGAAGCCCCGGCCGGTAGGTACTTTCCTGGGAGCTTCCAACCCCTGGACACTGCTCACTCACCTTTTACACTCCGCGAGCTCTCCCTGGGGCCCTGCAGGCTGCACGCTGAGCAGTGGATGCACTCTTCCAAGCCTCCAGCTCAAGGCAGTGGCCCTGCAAGGCCTTTGGAAGAGGATGAGGTGAACCAGGAGCTATCGGGAGCCTGCCTTCTCCTGGAAAGGCCCGAGACGACCAGACAGAGCCGGGCTTCCCACCAGTCTATGTGTGCACGTGGCAGGAGCTGCCTGGGGAGACCTGTCTATTGTGGTCAGTGATTTTGCTTCAAAAACTGCACACCTGGGTGAATGTATCATGGCTTCCAAGATCTGTTCCCAAATGGCTGACATGCTGGATGGTGCTGTGCTCGGTGCCCATTCCCAGGGACTCGACACTACCCTGCCCTGCAGCCCCGTCACTGTGTACCCATGCCCTGGTGACCCACGCCTGGGTTGGCGAGGCCCTGGCCAACAGGGTCCATGGTCACTCCTGCAGGGCAGGCTACTGCATGTCTGACCCGCGTGGCAGGGTGAGCGTGTATGCGCGCGACTTCACACCTGTGTGTGTCCAGATGCTGGTTTCGTGGCTGTGCCCTATGAATACCCATGACCACTGGCGTGGCAGGCGGTGTGCTGCAGACAAAGGTGCTCTTTCGGGTCCTGGCCCCATGCTCACTTGGCCCGGCCCAGGACTCAGGCCAGCCACTTGGCTGGCGGGACCATGACCCCGAGTCCTCCCTCGAGCAGGTCAGGCCTGGGCCCAGATGAACCTGGGGCATGGCCTTTGGGAGCCCAAGACAGAAGCTGGTCCTGCACCTGGCCCCAGGTAGCTGTAAGCAGGTGGCTCCCTGTGCTGGTCCCAACCTCTGACCCCTTGGGGCAGCTCAGGATCTGCTTGGCCTGCGGCGCCCGGCAGCCCGCTGGTCCTGCCAGACCCAGTGCTGGGCCAATCTGTGCAGCAGTCGCCACGGCCTCCCTGCTCTCAGGACGCCCTAGGCTGCAGGGCAGCCGGGACTGAGTGCAGTACAAGCACATGGGCCGCCTGTGGCACTGGAGCCTGTGGAAGGCCAGGAAGGGGAGCCGCCCAGCGACCTTGGAGCCTGTGGACGCCGGCAGGCTGAGACGTGGATGCCGTGCGTCCTCGTCCTGTACCTCACCTGCTGGTCTGCGACCAGGGACTCTCTGTACCTCAGTGCCAAAAGAGAGGCTCCCCGAGGACCCCACGTCCTAGTGGAGACCCATGATGTGGCCCTCAGGGGATGCATGTGTCTGCTTGGAGGTGCCGCGCCCACCTGCATGGGCCTGCTGGCTCTGGCCCGGCCCTTGCTGGCTGGCGGCAGAGCCGGGGTGCGGGCCACAGACTGTGTGTTGAGCTTACCTTTGGTGTCGTTGACAGGATCCATGTGCCGGTAGATGTAGCCCTCTAGGTAGGAGTGGAACTTCGGTGTGGGTGGGAAAAAGGCCAGGCAGATGGCCATGAGCTCCCAGCCGCGGGCCAGGCTCTCCAGGCGGAAGTTCTCGGTGGTCTGTCGGCACAGCTGGATGTAGAGCTCGTCGCGCAGGCCCTGCATGCTCCAGCCCTTGGTGGCAATCTCCAGGGCCACATGCAGCGGGTCCACCTTGGCACGCCGGTCACCCATGTACATCTGGATGAGCTTAAAGATCTCGCAGGCCTCCTTCTTCACATGGCGGTCGCTGGTCACGATCATGGGCTTCTTGATGGGCTCGCTGCTCCAGGCCAGCATGTTGGCGATGGACACCTTGCGCCGGAAGAGGCCCTGCGTGTGCTTGTTGAAGTGCTTGGAGGCCCAGTTCTCGATGTCCGTCTCCGAGGACGGCTTGCGCAAAGTGAACGTGGGGAACACGCAGCTGGCGCTGGGCATCACGCTGCGGGCCTGTCGGCTGCTCTCGAACTGTGCACAGGTGCCGAGGTCCTCGGACTAGGGGGACAGAGGCGCCATGAGGGGGTGGAGGCCCCACCTGACCCAGTGGGGGATGCAGCACATGCTGGTTGTCCCAGGGTGGGCGGGGCCTGCCAGCCCAGCTCTGTGCCTCATCCTGTTCTGTTCACGCACACACCCTCCCGCAGGCTGGGGCAGGGACCCAGAGAGGCCCTCCTAACAACCTCTGCCTTGGGGGTGTGACCTCCAGGGGTGCCCTCCTTGCTCCTGAGACCAAGGGTTGCAGGCCAGTGCGGGTCTGGGAGCGGAAGGAAGCCTCTTCCTGTCTGTCCTGCTGTCCGCTGTCCTGTGCTACGAGCCATGGACAGAAACGTGCTCTGAGCTCTCCAGCTTGGAGGGGCACTAAGGTGGCCCTGTCACGGGGAACACTGGGCCCTCATGCATGTCTCTCCTGGTGGGGCTGGGAGTGGACAGGAACAGCCTGACACTGAGAGGCCTCTGGCCACTGCCAGCTCTGGGCAGATGCCAGGGCAGACGCTCTGCTGTGGGTTCATGAAATAGACTGGTGTGAAGGGTCAGGGGTCAGGAGGAGAGAACCAGGGCATCCACCCACACTGTGTCCCGGGCAATGCGTTCCTGGCATGCCACCCGGACAGAAGGGCCTGGCCACCGGCTGTGCCTGCTGCTGCCCAGAGAGGGCACATCAGGCGGGCCTCTGCTTCAGCCCGAGCTGCAGCCTGAGGTCCTAGCAGCCACTGGGGACCCGCTGAGCGCATCCGGGCCATCCCTGTGTGTGGGAGCCACCTGAGAGCCTATTCACAGGTGGGAGAAGAGACTCAGGGGCTCAGTGGGCGTTAGCTGCCCTCCCACCTCCCCTGCCTCCATGACCTGGTCCCCGGGGGACATTTGCTGCCTGTCCACACCCTCTCTGGGGACCACGGCCTGCCCCGCCCTTGATGACTGGCTGCGCATCCGTACCTGAGAGGGGTGGAGGTACGGCTCCGGTGAGGCCAGGTTGGTCTGCACAGAGACGCTCTTCTCAAGCAGGATCTGGGGGAAGGCAAGCCTCTCCAAGGCGCCCCTCTGCCAGTGCTTGCCCTCCTGCTGGGCCAGCGCCTCGTCCTCACTGAAGGCACGCACCACGGGCCCGGGCATGGGCAGTGGCACGGCCCCGTCACTCTCATAGCCAGAGCCGTCCTGCTGGGAGTCCCAGCTGCCCCGCTGCTTCATGTGGAAGTGGGCCTGCTGCGCCTCCCAGGCCAGCCGCGCATGCGCCAGGAAGGGCTCGGCCCCACCCCGCGCCCCGTCGGCATCACCGGCCTTGGGCTCGGTGCGCTTTGGGGCCAGGCTGGGTCCACACGCGGGCCGATCCTCGGCCAGGGACTGCTCCAGCAGGTCGCGGTCCCCAGGGCTGTCGGTGGACGAGGCGCTGGGGGCGTGGCACAGGGAGGGGTTCCTGCTCTTCCTCTTGCGAGTGCCAGGGGAGTAGCCTGTCGAGGACATGGTATCCTGCTGGCTGGACCAGGACATGGCGTCGTCCTGAGCCTGGGGGAGCGGCGTGGGCGGAAGGGCATGCCGCAGCTCAGGCCCCTCCATGCTGCTGTAGTCCCCGGATGTGACCCCCAGGCGCTGGTCCCGCAGCAGGCAGGGGCTGGGCTGCAGGGAGAGCGAGCCACCGCCGGGGTTGGGCGCGTACTTGTGCCGGGGGCCTGCCCGCAGCCTGGGGCTCGAGCCGGCCTGCTCCACGTACACCAGCTGCCGCACGTACTCCTTGCCGGCGGGGCTGTACTCCAGGCTCAGGAAGCGCTCCGGGCACTTCTGCCGGGTGAGCACCAGCTGCTGGAAGGGCGAGGTGGAGGCCTGCTTGGGCGACTGTGGGAAGGCCAGCGGCTTCCGGCCGGGAGACCGCTGGGGTGAGCCCGCCTGGCAGGCCCCACCAGCCTCATACTGCACGTCCATGGGGGGCTCATCGTAGATAGGGGCCTGATACTCGATGGGGGGCTCCTCGTAGAGGGGGGGCTCATAGGCGTAGCGCGGGGAGGAGGGCTGTGAATCGCTGGCAGGCTTGCGGGGCTGGGCCAGCAGTGGGGAGCAGCTTCCCAGCTCAACCCTCTTCAGGAAGGGTGATGGCCTCCGCTCCGGGAAGAAGACGGGGCCATCCGCTTCGGGGGCAAACGTCTGCAGACTGGGCGAATGCTGTCCACCCGAGGGTCTGCGGGAGCGGCCCCCAGGTTGGCTGTCCAGAGGGCACCCATTGCCCTGCGGGGAGAGGAAGCTGGGCTCCCGATCGGCAACTCTGATGAGCACACGCTCCTTGGTGCCCGAGTTCCACCGGAGGGAGGACGTCCTGGGGGGGAGGGAGGGGTGGCGAAAGCACAGGTTACCAGGTGGAGAGGTCCTGGGGGAGAGCAGGTTACCTGGGGTAGGCAGAAGTCTGGCCCCACTGCCAGCCGAGACCCACTACCCACCTGCCTTGGCCTCCGGTGTCTGGAGTCAGGGCTCAGAGGGCCCGGTCATTTCTCCTCCTCCTCACCACTCCCCATGGGGCTGCAGCCTTTGGGGACCTGGTACTGGCTAGAGTACCCTGTAAACAACCTGTGTAACCCTCATGCAGTGGCCCTGACCCCTGAGCAGTGCAGCCTGGAGTAGCTGCTCTCCTGTCCTGAGAGCTCCCCTCACTCACCTCCTGACTCAGCCCTGCAGCCTTCCCTCCAGGGGGCTCCTCCCAGGCCCCAGCCTGGATTGCTGCCCCATAACACTCTCAGCAAGGGCCTGTGTGTGGATGTCTGCTCTGGTCTCAGCCCAGCACGAGGACAGGACTATTTCTACAACACAGAGCTGGGGACCTCCTATGAGAGGCCTGGGACTGGACTCCATGGGCACATTTCCTGCAGGCCTCACGCCCAGCTCAGCACCTGCCCTGCCACAGCTCCTGTGGCAGGAGACTACCATGCCCTGTGCACCTGTGTCTCAGGCCATCTTTGAACCAGAGGCTCCTGTGAGCTCCTAAAAGGTTAGGTGTCCTCAAAGTCAGCACTCTGCACCTGGATGGAGACAACAGGACTGCCCCTCACTGCCTGCTAACCCCTGGGTTATACTAGGGGCAGCCAGGACCCTTGGGAGTTGTGGGGCCCGAATCCTGGCCCCTCCACCCAGTGGTGGCCATGCTGGCCTTTGCCTCTTCTGAGCCTCCCTTGCTCAGTGACAACATGGGCAACACTGCCCCTGGGCGCTGCTGGCAAGATACTCAGACTCAAGACCCACACCGAGCTCTACCTGCCCGAGGTCAGCACAGTGTCCCACGTCCCATGACACCACCACCCACTCAGGGACCAGATCTGGAGTTTAGGACATACGAGCAAGGGCTCACCTCTTGCCACCTGCTTGCTCCTTCAAGCGACTTCCAGCTGCTTTTATGGTTTTCCTTTTGTATTTAGTATTTAGCACATGTGCTTACGTGTTTGGGATTCACAGCACTTCCTCAATCTGTGGCTGGACATGTTTTGTGACTTTTGGAAACTCCTGACCATTATCTTTTCAAGTATTACTTTATCTCATGTCCTCTCTCCTCTCTTCTGGGAATCAATCACTGTCCTTTTCACTGTGTGGCTGTGGTCGCACGTGGTCTCCTGTACCTCCCATCCCCTGGCCTCTCCATACTTCACAATGGGTATCTTCTTTTGATCTACCTTCCAATTTATTAATTTTCTATTCAGCTATGTTTAACCTGCTTTTACAGCCATATATTGAGTTCTTAGTTTCTGTTATACAGAGGGTGCCAAAAAAATCATACACATTTTAAGAAAGGAAAAAACTATTAAACTTGTAATTACTCAATATATACCGATAACAAAAGATGAATACAAGTCATGTTTGGCTTCTGCAATTACAAGAGGTGCTCAAAGTCCAGACACTTCTGGCTATGGCGAACTGCTTGAGCAACGCTGAGCAGTGTCCATTTGCATACATTTTTTTGGCATCCCCAGTATATTTCAGTTTAAGAATATCTATTTACTTCTTCCTGTTTTTTAATAGACATTGTTTCTTAGAGCGCTTTTAGGTTAATAGCGGAGTAGAAAGTACAGATTTCCCCTTTGGCCCCTGCGTTCACTCAAGCCTCCCCATTATCAACATTCCACACGAGAGGGTGCACCTGTTGAACCTACACTGACACTTCACTGTCACCCAGAGTTCTCGTTCACTCTGGGTGTTGTGCGTTCTGTGGGGCTGGACAAATGTACAATGACACGTGTCCACCATTACAGTGTCACACAGTATTTTCACTGCCCTGAAATTCCTCTGTACTCCCCCAGTTCATTCCTCCCTCCCTCCAACCCATGGCAACTACTGATCTTTCTGTCTCCATAGAAGCCCACTCTGAAGCCAAACCAGGGAGCAAATCTTTAGCCTCCAAAGAAGCCAATCTGAAAAGGCTGCATTCTACATGACTGCAACTATTGGGCTGTTGGAAAAGTCATGATGTTTCTATGTGTTTCGTTGCAAAACTGCATCATGGCTTTTCCGAGACCCCAATATATGGCATTGTGGGCGGCCTTATCAGATGGGCTCTCTCACTCAGTATATGCACTCAAGGATCCTCCATGTCTTTTTCTGGTTCAACAGCTCATTTCTCTTTAGTGCTGAAGAATATCTCGCATTCTGAACGGACTACAGATTATTTGTCCACCGCCCATCTGAAGGACATCTTAGTAGCATGCAGGTTTTGGGGGTTATGAATAAAGCTGCTTAAACACGCACGTTTTCAACTCCTTTAGGTAAATGCCGAGGAGCACAGCTGGTGGTTCCTACAGTGAGAGCGAGTTTCGTTCTGTAAGGAACCACCAAGCTCCCAGCGTGGCGCACCTTCGGCGTCCCCACCAGCAGTGAGTGGCAGTTCCTGTTGCCACACGTCCTCACGGGTATTGGGTGATGTCGGTGTCCAGATTTGGGCCATTCTAATAGGCGTGTCGTGGGATCTCATCGTTTTAATTGGCATTTCCCTGATGGCATACGATGTGGGGCATCTTTCATGTGCTTATTTGCCATGTGTATGTGTTCCTTGGTGATTTGCTTATTTAGGTCTTTGGCCCATTTGAAAATCAGGTCGTTTTCTTATTGTGGACTTTGAAGAGCTTTGCATATTTTGGGTGACAGTTCTTTATAAGATGTGTCATTTGCAAATACTTTGTGACTTGTCTTCTCCTCTTCACATTGACTTTCACAGCAGAAGTGTTTCATTTTAATGAGGCCCAGCTTATTATTTCTTGCAAGGATTGTGTCTTTGGTATTGTATCTAAAAAGTCATTGTCACACCCAAGGTCATCTAGGTTTTCTACCATGTTCTCTTCTAGGAGTTAAGTTCTGCATTCCTGGAAGCCACATGTATCAAGCCCCAGCCCCCCTGGGGTGCGGAGATCCAAGACGCTGCTTCCATCCCTAAGTTCCCTTAATAAACTTGCGTTTAATTCTGGAGTTGTCAGCCTCTTCCTTCGGTCTCTTGGCCCCATGCTCCTTGCGAGGCTGGTTCCAATCCACCTTGGGAAATTTTCCCAGCACTGCCACGGGGCAGAGGCCCCACCCAGTCGGCCTCCCATGCTCCACTTTATCAGGCGGACGTGGGGGCAGAGAGAGGCTGGGAAACATGCCACGGTCACACAGCCACATTGCTGGACCAGGGTAGGCTCAGGTTCCCTTCCCGGTGTGCTGATGTACAAACCCAGTTACCACTTCCAAGCTCAATCTTTAAAACTGTTGAAGCAAACTGCCAAAGGCCCTCAGGTCTTCAAATCATCCTCAGCACTGGTGTCACTCCTGGTCTGCGCTGGGGGCACCCAGGCCACCCAGAGGCACACACCCCACCTGGCCCCTCCACAGCCGGGAAGGAGGTGCCTGCTCCATCCTGGACAAACAAGCTGCTCAAGGGATGGTCTTGCCCAGCCTAACTGCTGCTGCACCCCTGAGGGTCCTGAGGGTCCCTCCAGAACCTTCCAGCAAGCACCCTGCAAACCAAACCCAGGGCTAAGACAGGCCAAAGTCCGCTCCCTCCCCCACGAGTAAAATCAACAAGGAATTGCTGGGAGGCATGGCCGGAGCCCCAGGACGACCACATGCTGAGGACCCCAAGGCCTCATTCCTCTGCCAGGGACCAGGGAAGCGCCACAGGCTCCATGATTCCCCAGAGTGGCCAGTGACAAGGTTGTCCTAGGACCAAAAGCTGCCACATGAGCCTCCGTGTCACTTCAGAAGGCCTCTGCCCAGGCACTGGTGGCCCCAACAGCCGCTCCTCATGCCCCACTGGCTGCTGAAGACCCCACACGCTGTGCTCGGCCAGCGAGTTGCTTCCTGCTGAGCCAGACTCTTTTCCAGCTCATCCAAGAACTGCCAAGAAAACCACCCTCAGGTCAGGAGACGGCCAAGCCCGAGACACAGGCTATACCTGTAGTGAAGAAGCTGGCCATCTGCAGAGTGACCCCGGGAAATCTCATAGTCCTTGTCGAGAAACACTGCTGGTGGTGAAGAACTGAAACACAGCAAAAGAAAGAAGACATGAACATACGTGCAATCATTTACACGGGTGCGACATTAGAAATAGTTTCTCTGGGACGAGCCCGATGTCCTGGCTCCGGCCCACAAGGCTGTCCCCTTCCTCAACTCGAACGGGTCTTTATCCTGTCCTAAGCACGCCTCCCTGCAGTGCCTGAGACTTGGCCTGGACGGAATGGACTGGGACCCACCTGCCCTCCAACAGGGACAGCCCCACTGCAGCCCCATCTGGAGTCGGGGGGCAGGCAAAGACACCGACTGCCCCGTCCTGGATTCCAGGAGCTTGGATGACTGGAATTGGGGCTACTGGTCTAAGGGAACAGAGAGGGGGTCGGTGAGAACCACAGCCCAGACGACCTGGGAAGGAAGTAGGGAATAGGAATCCCCTATGGGGATGGCAGGCATCTTAAGGGTGGGGGCTCGCAATACCTGGGAAACGAGTAAGGGGGTGACTATCTTGGCAGGTGTTCAAAGCATACAATCAAATTAATATTTATGATTTTAAAAATTCTCAGCAATCCAGAAGTAAAAGAAAATTGAAATTTGATCAAGAATATCTGTATTAAACCCAAGGCCTTCATAATATTCAGTGGTAAAAGGCTGAAAGCAAACTCATTAATGTCAGGAAAGGACATCTCTCACCACCAGTACGTAATAATTTTGGAAATGCTAGTCAATGCAATAAGATTTTTTAAAAAGCAAGACATTTAAGTATTTGAAAAAGATAAATTGTCATTAATTGGCAACCTAGAAAAACTAAAAGAATCAACTGAAAAACTAACAGAAGTATTAAGAGAAACTGCTAATGCAGTGTTCACTTACATAACACTTTTGACCCATGAACAACGTGGGCTTGAACTCCAAGCCCACAACAAACTAAGAGTCTTAACTACAAAGAGGAGGTAGAGAGACTTCGAGCGCGGATGTGTGGCATCACCAGGGGCTCGGCGGCACTGATGTAAGAACAGATGCACTTGAGGTGGTGAAGGGGCACGTGCCACGGGCCAAGGTGGGGTTAAGGAGATGAAGCAGGGATCCTTCCTGGGCTCCTAACAAAGGTGGCTCCAGGCAGATTTAGGCCTCAACGTGAAAGACAAAACTAGAAATTTATCACCAGGCATGTAAGAGTGTATCTTTGGAACTAGGATAAGGAGGAACTTTTTAAACAAAACATTAAAAACATCACTGCAAGGCAAAAAACAAAAACAAAAACAAAAAAACTGGTAAATTTGGTTGCATCAAAATCAAGACATCAGGGACCAGAGAGCAGGCAGGTGACCCAGTATTAGATCCTTGTAACGTCTGAAACCAGCGAGGAAGCGACAACTGGAATATGCAAGGAACTCTTGCAAAACAGAAAGTAAGCTAGTAACTCTAGCAGAGAAATGACTAAAACATGTAAGCAGGCAATTCACATCAGAGAGAACTCAAAAGGTAAACTCACAAGGAGAGAATAAGAATCTTGACAAATGAGAAAGGAGAACTAAAGTGCCGGTGAGGTCCACCCAACTGATTAGATGGTCTGGGTAAAACCCGGTGCTGGGGGAGCACCTGCTGCCTGCTCCTAGTGGTACCACCAACCCCAGGATCACCCCCCAGACCCCCCAGAGCGATGAGGCGCACAGAACGCAGGGGTGGAGCTTAACAGTTGCGTGCCAGGAAGGTGGGCTACACAGGAACACCTTCGAACAGCAAGACGCACGTCGGCCACCGCATGGGTGTGGCATGGCCGCAGACAGAGGAGAAGCCAACCATGAAAAGCGTGCACCTGAACAGACGCAAACATGAAAAATGAAATCGTCCCTGCCGGTTGAGTAGCACATTGGTTAAGAGCTGGCTTGGGACGCCAGAGGGCCCCGGTTCGGATCCCACATATGAGGGCTAGTGACACTGCCCTCTACAGCTAAGATGGTGAACAACAGCTCAACCTGGAGCTGGGCTGCCGTGAGTCATTGGCGACAGTGGTAGGCTGCAGTGGAGCTGCAGTGGGCTGCCATAAGCTACCGTGTATGGCCGGCAGCCAGTGTGAGTGGCCAGCATCCACCATGAGCGGCCGTCCAGAGGCCGGCGACCAATCTGCCTCAGCCGGGAAGAGCACAATAATAATACCAACATGGGCCAGTGAAGCAACATCCTCCACAACTAGACTGAAGAACAAAAGGACAGCAACTTGTCTGTTCCCCTTCCCCCAATTCCCCAGCGCTGTTCCCCTCCCTCAATTCCCCAATAAAATCTTAAAAAAAAATAAAAATCATGCTTTCTGACCAAAATGAAATTAACTTGACAATCAAGAGCAAGAATAAAAAAAAAACAACCTACAGTTTCGGAAATTAAGACATTTCTAAGTTACAAACGAATCAAAGAAGAAATCATAATTAAAATTACAAAATATTTAAAACTGGACAACAATTCTACATCCCAAAGTTGTGCAGTAAAACTAAAGCAGAGCAGAGGGAAGACTATCATCTCCGAGTTCATTTTAGAAGAAAGAGTGGTAACAAATGAGTTAAGCTTCCGAACAGTGTGTTTAGGAAATGGCTGAGAAAATAATGTCAAACAAAGTCAAACAAGAGCAAAGATACAAAAGAGAGGCCCAGTGAAGCCAAAAGTGGTTCTCTGAACAGACTAGTGAAATGGAAATCTCTACAAAGCTGAACGGGAACGAGGGCGAAAGAGCGAACAGCTCAGGTGCTGCAGGAGGAAATTTCAAAACAGAAGAACACTATGAGTAGCTTTATGCCCACATGTGTATACACAGATAAATGGACCATTTAATAAAAAATATATATATATAAAATTTGATTTAAAATATTAAAAAACCTAAATACTCCTGCAAGCATTAAAGAAACTGAGTCTGTAGTTAAAACCCTATCCAGACAAGCCACAGAGCTGGACAGTGGACAGGTGAGCGCGTCACACACCCAGAAACAGATAGTGGTTCAGAGGACAGAAGACAGAGGCCATACTGCCCATGTTGGTATGAAAACCAGCCAAACAGAACAAGGACGAAAGCACAGCCATTGTTACTTACCAACTAAGTAAACATTAGCAACCTGAATCTATTTACAAAATTATACAAACTGAGTATCCTAAGAATGCAAGAGATACAGAATAACAATTTCTAAAACTACTAATGGCAGCGGTGTCCTGGGGCGGGCCGCAGCAACGAAGTTCCACAGACTGGGTGTCTTCAAACAACAGAAACTCGTGCTCTCACAGCTCTGGAGGCCACAAGTCCACGATCCAGGTGCCCACAGGGCTGGTTCCTGCTGGGGGCCGTGAGGGACGCCACTCCAGGCCTCTCTCCAGCTTCTGGTGGTGCCGGTAATTCTGGGCTTGTAGACGCATCGCTCTAAATAAACTCTGCCTGCGTGGTCACTTGGCCTCTCCCTGTGTCTCCCCTCTTCTTCTAGGGACGCCAGTCCGACTAGATGAGGGCACACCCGACCCCAGGTGACCTCCTCTCAACTACTGGCATCTGCAAAGATCCTTGTTCCAAACCGGTCACACCCTAAGATCCTGGGGGTTCAGACCTCAGCATATCTCTTGTGGGGACACCATTCAACCCACAACACCAATATCAATGGACTCAGAAAATACACTTGATAAACTACTCCACCCATTCATTGGGAGGAAAAGCCCACCAATAGGAGGGGACTTCCCAAGCCTGAATGATAGTGTCATCAAGTTATAGGGATGGGAGGTCTGCAGCCTGAGCACTGGGACAGGTCAGGGTGCTGGCCCTTTGTGGTTCAGTCCCGGACCTCATGGGGCAGCTAAATAGCATCCCAGGAGATGGACGATGAATCTTTAATGAGATTAACGAGAGTTCAGCAAAAGTGTAAAAAACAAAACTGACATATAAAAATCAATGTCTATTTATCAGTGACGGTCAGAAAACATGACTTTAAAAAGAGATATAATTTACAAAAGCCAGAGCTATAAAATTCATAAAGTACCTAGAAAGAAGCCTTAGAAATATACAAGTCCTTTGTGGAGAAGAGTATGAAACACACTGTTCTCCATGCATGGGACAAGACAATCTAATAAAGATGCCCATCTCACACGAACTGATGCGTAAATTCAACACAATTCTAACCAAAATCCAAACAGAGCTTCTTGGGGAAATCCTGACCCCACTGACCCTGTCGTCTTACTTCACGTAGAACACCTAAGAGACTTCTGGAGAAAGGACACTCCCTCCCCAGACAGCGCGCAGCTCGGCAGGAAGGTCCAGGGGACCGGGCAGGGTGCGGCGCCGTACCCAGATGTGGGTGACAAACACATTTGCCAACAGAATCCTGAAAGAACCCAATCCCCCCATCTAATTACACAGATGAGTCAGCATACGATAAAGAATTCAAAACCATCACAATCCAATAACAAGGAGCCAGGCCTGAGCCCTCGATAAGAGGAAACAGGACAGCCTGCGGGCCTTGGAGGACCCCAGAGGTCACTCACAGCCCACACTTTCCCTGCTCATCCCTGGGTGCCCTGGCTCCCACCAAGGGAAGGTCCGCTTTCTCGGAAGGACTCTCAGGTGACCCTCCTGAGCCAGCTCAGACCTCCCTGGCCAAGGACACCTCCAGGTGACCCCAGGTGAGTGTCTAGCGTCCACACTGATCTGACCCCCATACGTGTCCTGACCTCCGCATCCCATGCAGAAGCACCAGAACCAGCAGTGCAGTCCCCAAATATACCAGAATCTGCTTGTGCGCCCACCTACCACCACACACAATTGACACTGCCCACTCTCTCTGTGGCTGCCACCCTCCCGTTTCCATGCCCGGCCCTTGTGTATCATCCTCAGAGGAGAAAGACCCCACAGTGCAAACCAGGTCTCAGTGGCTTTGTGGTGTCCACTGTCCCTGGTGAAATCACGCCTGCGCCCCACCTGCCCTGCCTGCGCCCCACCTGCCCTGCCCGCACCTCACCTGCCGCTCTCCTCCCTCACAGCCCCAAACGCCGCCTGCCGGCTCCTCCCGGGCGGCTCCTGGGCTTTGTCGCCAGCATCCAGCTCGGGCTCCAGGGAGGAGCTGGTGCTGCCATCGCGGCTGATGCTGCTGCCGCGCCCGGGGCTGTTGTCCGCAGAGGCGCGCGGGGACTCCGTGTTCTGCTTCAGGGTCTGCAGCTTGGCCAGGGGGATGATGTCGCAGCCCTGCGGCCGGTGCCACACAGTGCGCTGGGTGGTGGCACTGTAGTAGTAAAAGCGCGACGTGTTGGGGTCGAAGAGCTCCCACCACTGGTTCTCGCTGGTGCGCTTGATGCGGACACCGGCCGGCGGGTCCCACACGCACTCGCCTGTGACCAGGTTGGCGTACATGCGCTCACGGGTTCGTGGCTCGATGATCTCCACCCACTCCAGCCTGGGAGAGAGCGGGACAGCATTAGCAGGATGGTGGCAGGGACAGGCGACCTCCAGGCAACTCGCGCTGCACCCAGGCTTTACACCCCGGCCGCAACCCCTCCTTACAACACCCCGGCCCTGCACCCCAACCACCAGCATCCACCCGCGGGACGAGTCTGCATTGGGCACTTTCTTACATCCTCCACTTCAAAAGCAAGACATCCTGTCACTTACTTAATCAAATCTTCTTAAAGCTTATTAGTGTGTCCTTATCACTTACAAAGTCTACCTTGGGGGTGACACAGCCAGTCCATAACAAAAACAATTTCACATTTACAACAAAGTTCGAAAAAAAGCCTTCTTTCAAATCCCCCCTCCCCCACACGCAGGTCAAGGTGAGGCAGAAGAGCCCGGAGCGCAGTGGGTCTCGCTCTGAGCACAGCCCACCGTGTGCCCGGCCTCTGCACCTCTCACTGCTGCTCTTTCTGCTGGGGCTGGAGAGGGTGATGAGCAGAGACGCTGCATGGGACTGTCCTGTTTCCCACCATACTCCCACCCACTGTATGGCAGCCAAGGGGGAATCCTGCCCACAGCACTCACAGTGCTGCGCGCCAAATGCTGATGGCCGGCTTCCGTCCCCCCACACAGGTCCCAGCTGGAACTCTGTTTTAAGCGTCCACAGCACAGACATCGTCATTTAGCAGTGGCTACTGAGATGTGGCATGACGCCTTTCTGCTTTGTTGCAATTTCCGTTTTCTTTTTTTTTTTAGGATTTTATTGGAAAATTGGGGAAGGGGAACAGACAAGTTGCTGTTCTTTTGTTCTTCAGTCTAGTTGTGGAGGATGTCGCTTCACTGGCCCATGTTGGTATTATCATTGTGCTCTTCCTGGGTGAGGCAGTCGCTTGCTGGCCATTGGACTGCCGTGCCGCTCACGGAGGCTCATGGCAGCTCACGAAGGCGCACGCCAGCTGCCGACCAGCCCCACTGCAGCCTACACTGTGGCTGGCGACTCACGCAGCCCAGCTCCAGGTCAAGCTGTTGTTCACCATCTTAGCTGTAGAGGGCACAGCGTCACTGGCCCTCATGTGGGATCCAAACCGGGGTCCTGCTGCTCAGAGCTGGCGTCCCAAGCCAACTCCTAACCAACGAGCCACTTGGCTGGCCCTCCAAGTTTTCTTTTTTTTTTTTCTTTTTTCTTTTAAAGATTTTTTATTGGGGAATTGGGGGGATGGGAACAGTGCTGGGGAATTGGGGGAAGGGGAACAGACAAGTTGCTGTCGTTTTGTTCTTCATTCTAGTTCTGGAGGACGTTGCTTCACTGGCCCAAGTTGGCACCATCATTGCGCTCTTCCCAAGCAAGGCAGATCAGTCGCCGGCTTCTGGACGGCCGCTCACTGCGGCTGCTGGCCGCTCACGCTGGCTGCTGGCTACATACGGTAGCCCATGGCAACCCACTGCCACAGGGACTGCAGCCTACGCCGTCACGGGTGACCCATGGCAGCCCAGCTCCAGTTTGAGCTGTTGTTCAGCATCTTAGCTGTGGAGGGCAGTGTCACTGGCCCTCATATGTGGGATCCGAACCGGGGCCCTCTGGCATCCCAAGCGAGTTCTTAACCATCGCGCCACTCGGCCGGCCCCCCTCCAAGTTTTCTATGTTCACAGATTACATTTGTAATTGAACAAAAATTGATACATTATCTTCTATAAAATAGTGTATTTTTCCAATTAGCGATATGTAAGACTGTAAGCATCAATTTTTACAGTTGTAGAGATTTAGTGCATAATATATCCACACGCTACAGACCTGCCAGACTGACAATGGTCTCTCCCTGGCCGGGGGGAGGATGTGTGTATGTAGAGTATGGTCAATGGTACCTCCCTGTGAAGATGTGTTTTAACGTGAATCCAAGCTTAATGGCAAAATAAGGACTTTCACAGTTAATAACTAAACAAAGTTATATAGACTCTTAAAAAAAAAAGCCACATAAATGTTTATACGTATATATTTGTGTAGAAATTGTGGAAAAGGTAAATTCAAGTATTAAAAGTGGTTATCTAGTAGTAGTGGAATTCAGCAATTTTACATCTCCCCTTTTTTAATAATGGAAAATTTCAAACATACACAAACATAGATTCAAATAATGAATTCCCATGTACGTGGTTTAAAATTTTTCCTGATTATTAATGAGGTCAAGTATCTTTCTTATATTCACAAGCCATTTATATTTCTTGTTTACTAGAAACATGGGACTTCTGCCCATTAGATTTTTTTTCTTATAAATGTGCATGAGTTGTATTTTTAAAAAATATATATTCTTGATAGTAATCCCTCTCAGTTATCCAAGGTCTGGCAATTAAGTTCACAAACTTGCCACCACGCGCTTACATTGGCAGCACTGTACAAACAGCTCGGTAAGGTTTCATAACCTTGGTGTATCAGTGTCTCATAACTGTGTTCGCACTGATGTGTGGTGGTGTCTTGCTGAGTAGCATTCGTTACTGTTTTTGCATGTTTTGTTTTTTTGTGTTTTTGGTTTTTTTTGGCTGAGCCATCCTGCTACCTGTTATCAGCTCAGCAGCTGCTCAGCTTGGGCTGGACTCGAACCGCTGTTGCTCAGAGCTCAAACTCTTGAGCGAGCTCTTAACCAACTGAGCCACTCGGCCGGCCCTGTTTTTGCATGTTTTTATGTGCCATTGTGAGAATGAGCTTGAATTAGAGCAATGAACAAACATTAAATTTCTTGTTAAACTTGGCAAGAGTGGAAGTGGAATCAGGGACATGTTAGTCCAAGTTTATGGGAATAATGCCATGAAGAAAACGGCAGTGTACAAATGGATTAAACGGTTTTCTGAGGGGAGAGAACGCATCACTGATGGAGAGAGGTCAGGGCGGCCAGTAACGAGCAGAACTGCCAAAAACATTGCAAAAAATCGTCAAATTATGAGTCTGACTGAGAAGCATAGCAGACCAAGTAAACATCGACAGAGAAACAGGAAAATCTTAACTCAAAATCCTGGCATGAGAAAGGTGTGTGTAAAAATGGTCCCGAAGGAGCTCACTGATGAACAAAAGCACAAGAGAGTGGAAGTTTGCCAGGACCTTTTGGAGAGACAAGACGATGTTTTGGGCCGTGTTATCACTGGTGATGAAACATGGGTGTACCAATACGACCCTGAAACAAAGTGTCAAAGTGAACAATGGAAGTCAGACAATTCTGCACCACCAAGAAAGTTCTGTCAGTCCAAATTAAGAGTCAAAACGATGTTGCTAACCTTTTTTGATATCAGAGGGATTATTCATGATGAATTTGTACCAGCTGGACAAACAGTTAACCAAGTTTCCTATTAGGAAGTCCTGAAAAGGCTGCATGAAAAAGTTAGACGAAAACAACCTGAACTTTTCGCCAACAATTCATGGCTCTTGCATCACGACAATGCACCAGCTCACATGGCGCTGTCTGTGAGGGAGTTTTTAGCCAATAAACAAATAACGGTATTGGAACACCCTCCCTCACCTGATTTGGCCCCCAGTGACTTCTTTTTCTACCCGAAGGTAAATGAAATACTGAAAGGAAGACATTTTGATGACATTCAGGACATCAAGGGTAATATGACGACAGCTCTGATGCCAATTCCAGAAAGAGTTCCAAAATTGCTTTGAAGGGTGGACTAGGTGCTGGCGTCGGTGCATAGCTTCCCAAGGGGAGTATTTCAAAAGTGACTGTAGTGATATTCAGCAATGAGGTATATAGCACTTTTTCTAGGATGAATTCTCAAACTTGTCAGATCTCGTATGTGTTACCAATCTCTCTCCTGCTTGCAGCTTATCTTTTTACTCTGTTTACAGTGTCTTTGCATTTCAATGAAAAGTTTTAAATTTCAATATAGTTGAATTTATAAATCTTTTCCTTCATGATTTCTCCCCTTTCTACCTTGTTTAAGAATCTTAAATCTTGGTCCTGCCGAGTGGCTCAGTTGGTTAACAGCGCGAGCTCTGAGCAACAGTGTCGCCAGTTCAATTCCCACATGAGCCAGTGAGCTGTGCCCGAGGTGAGCTGCTGCTGAGCTGCCAACAGGTGGCAGGATGGCTCACCTGGTGAGAGCACATGCTCCTAACAACAAGGTTGATGGTTCCATTCCCGCATGGGATGGTGAGCTACGCCCACCCACAACTAAGATTGAACACAGCACCTTGAGATGAGCGCCCACGAGCTGTCAACGGGTGGCTGGATGGCACCTGGACTTGGAGCTGAGCTAGCTGCGCCCTCCACAACTAAGCTTGAAGGACAACTTGGCTGTTCCCCTCCACCAATTCCCCAATAAAAATCTTTAAAAAAAAAAAAAAAGGAATCTTAAATCTTAAGATTTCCTACTTCTAGGTCAAACATATTCTTTTTGTTTTTTAATTGGGTAACAGTGTGTTTTTTCCAAGACCCATCAGCTCCAAGTCAAGTCATTGTCCTTCAATCTAGTTGTGTAGGGCACAGCGCAGCACCAAGTCCAGTCGCTGTTTTCAATCTAGTTGAGGGAGGCGCAGCCCACCACCCCATGCGGGAATCAAACCAGCGAACTTGTTAAGAGCACGCGCTCTAACTAACTGAGCCATCAGCCACCCACTGGCAGCTCAGCTCAAGTCATTGTCTTTAATATACTTGTGGAGGGTGCAGCTCAATGGCCCAAGTGGGAATCGAACGGACAACCTTGTTGTTCAGAGAATGCACTGCAACCAACCGAGCCATCCGGCCACCTCCAAACATATTCTAAGTTGATTTGCAAAGTTTTATAGCTTTGCCTTTCATGTTGAAGTTCTTTATCTGTACTGACTTTTGTTTTACTGTGTGACATTTCATTTCCCCACATGGATAACCAGGGGTCTCCCTGATGGACAGGGTCAGTGCACCTGTGTCTGAGCTCTCTGCTGGCTCTGTTGGTCAAACCTTTTCTGACCAACACAACATTATCCTAATCACGGTAGCTTTGTACACCATGCGTTTCCCAAGTTCCCAGTCCTCTGCT